AAATTAAATCGGGAAGCCTGACAATTTTCCTTCAGGCTGCAGCACACATGCATACCGATTATTCTTGGGAATTGTTTGGAGGAAACATGTAACAAGGCTTTTTTGTGGTAGCACCTGATTGCAGAATTTTCCCACCAATGTGGTGAGATCCCTGAATGTTTAAAAGGCAGCAAAAGGAAGTTGAATAGTTAGGGCTGAAAAGGAGAATATATCTCAGCATAAATACGTGATATGAAAAATGTGACAAATAAATGGATAGACTATTGGTAAACTATAAAAACATAAAGGTTTTGAAATGGATTAATGTTTGTGCCTAAGTATCTGGTGCATCACGAGAAAGTGTAGTTTAATTTTATGTGGCCATCTTTGCTGTGTTCTATGTGCTTTCTCTGTTATTTGTTCAAAAGACCAGCTGTTGCTCTGAGGGACAATCTTAAAAGTCTGCCCTTCATGTTTTTCATTAGGGAAGCTGTGTGTGACACTGGCTCCATCAAGAGGGAGAAGGGAGTAAGAAAGCCAAAGAACCAGGATGAAACCTGAGTTCCCTCTAGAATGGGGTTATTTATGCACTGTTATTTTTAAGAATAGTTTTATGATTCCTTCTATGACAGAACTCAACCAAATATTGATTTGCAGGGCGACCAAGGATACCAACATGAGGTAAAAGGAGGCGGCTTTTGAAGTCAGTAAGTTAGTAAATTGTCTGGGCAACTGACTTTCCCACGTGCCATTAAGACCACATAAATAGATTTTCTTCATAGCAATCTGTACCTAAGCTAGTCTTTCAGGTATTCTAATGGTATAAGCCCAAGGCCATGAATGTATAACTGAGTTCATTCATCTTGCTGCTGGTTGCCCTCTTCTTTTCACCTTTTGCCAGCATTAGACCCTTCTCCAAAAAGCTAGGTCTTTGCATAATGTGCTTGAAGTAGGAAAATTTGATGCCTTCCCTTTAGGCAGTTTCCATGACTTATTCTGATATCCAGTTTGTTTTCTACTTCTTCATCTTTGTATCGTGATTTTGCGATTCATTCATTCTTAAAGACTTCTTTACGTCCAATCCACAGTTTCTCAGATTCCCTACCAATGAGATTCAGCACTTCTAAATAATTCCTGATGGTCTCCCTGAAAATGGTGTGGTAATGCTCAAAGTTGTATTGTGGAAACTGTGGTCTTTTCTACCATCAGCACCTCATCAGATCTTTGATGCAATAATAGGGCCAATTTGATTCTTATGCACTCCATCTGGTGATTTCCACATAGACAGGCATCATTTTGGCTGTTTGCAAACAGTCTTAGCTGTGAAGAAATCATTGACTTTTGTGTTGCCATAAAAGCTGTTTGCTTGAGTTTGTCAGTGTTCTCTCCAACATCATAAATAAGAGTTATCAAGAGTTTCACATGTCGTTCTATGGCAAGACAAGGCAAGGGAAAGAAAAATCCAAGATGGCCCCTGTCCAAGGATAAGCAAAGGCAATCCTTCAATAATTGGGAAAGATGGCACCTGGAGGGGACAGGAAGGAGATCCTAGAGTCTGGAGAACAGTGCTGGAACTGGTGGGAAGATATGCTCTAAATCTCCAAAGGAAGCTCTACAAAACTTCATAACAGCATTTTCTCTGATAGAAATCCTGCTAACTTCCTGCTTTCCTTGAACCCCACAGTATCAGTGGAAGATACACTATCTTGACTGCGGAAGGACATTTTCCTTTGGTTTATCCATATGTGTCAGTAGAACCCGGAGTATAAAAGTACAGTTGTATCCTGCCACAAATACATTACAGGATACATTACTCTTGTTCAGTAGTCCAACCAAACAGGGTTTCTGCTTCAAGAGTCTATTTTGATTGCCTTCCTGTTCTTTTAAAATCTTGATTTACTTTCTCCATATTTGTGGGTAAACAAAACTGAAGGTTTTCTAGGCGACTCCTGCTAAACTTATTACATAAGGACATGGATATTTTGCCTAGAGCATGACCAACAAAGAATTTAGTTTGCTATTAATATATAGAATGACTACACTAATGAACGATGAACCAATAATGGACAAATGTGTAGTCAGAATTCCGTAATAGTTGTTTGTACATGTATGCAACCCTTTTCGGCTACGGAGGCCTTGGTCCTTCCTGAATTTGGTCATTTGTTTGCAGACATTTCATTACGCGATTAGGTAACGTAATCATGCTAGTGAATCTAGTATTTGCTCTCTAACCATATATAATAGTTTTCCTGGGCCAGTGTTGGTGGCAGTGTGGTTTTCTCCTTGGTAGTTTCTTGATTAGGCTATTTTCTGCTTGCTTGCTTGTCTGTCTGCTTATATGTCTCCCGAGTAGTGCCTTGATTAGGCTATTGTTTTCTGTTTAATTATTTGTCTAGTGTTAATCTCTGCTTATCTGGGTGTTGGCTGTTGAAGAGGATGTGTTCTGACCTTTTTGTTTCCTTAGGTTTTTTTTGTCTCTTTTGAATGGTGTGTAAATGTAACACAAAGATAGTGTTTTCATTGTCTTGCTAATCTCCTTTTACTGTCACATCACCACCTGCTGACTTGCATGGTTGTGTGTACGAAAGAAATATTTGTCTTAGTCAGGCTGTTTGGAGTAAACAGTGAATGACATATTATACTAGGTTACACGATCAGCCCTTTTCAGGTTTATTGAAACAATGAGTCTGGATCAACCAGCCAGATAAAGGGCTTAATGTACCAAAGTGCTGTGCTCATCAGTCCCAGCCGTCATGACACTTCCTGTCAATGTTGAAGGCTAGCAACCCAATTAGATAGTGGTCTGCAATAATATAGCACAGGGGAGTAGTTTGCTATAGCCTTGAACAAAAATCTGTTTAAGCTGAAAGCAACTTGCTTCTTTGAAAAAAATGTTGTTGTGGGAATCGAGTAATAAAATTGTGCCCTCTAGAGAGCAATCCTGAGAATTACATATTTTTAAAAATCACATTATATGTAATAAATACTACACATTAGTAGTATGATAGTGTAGCTTCTAAAAGAAAACCATGCAGGGTGAAATCCTGAATTATTTTATAGAATTCACAAACTTAAACATTTAAGAATTTCACGTTTTTTTATTTGTAAAAATAAGCTAGGCACTTAGAAATTCATAGCTTTGGTGGCTTCTTCAATCTTTTAGCTGTTCTTTATTTAACTCTTCTTGTGTACTAATTTTTGGGTATTTTAATGACTAGCTCTGTTGTAAACAAGGAATGAGAAAGTAATTCATTATTCTGAATGAAATCACTCTTGAAATAGCTCTCCTCTAGTAAGTAGACATTGAACTATGAGGTGATTTTTATGAAGAACCTTATCCTGACAAAAGATGGCATCTTGTATTTGCCCCCTCTGTCATCAATTTTGATTTGCTTTATCTAAGGTAAAAAAGTCATACCTGCAAAAATATAACAAGAATTAATTCTAATGTGTGTGTTTGTATGTATATATGTGTATAGTATAGTATAGTATAGTATAGTATAGTATAGTATAGTATAGTATAGTATAGTAATTAGTAAATATAGTACAGCCCTGATCTATAGTATTGCTTTCGTAATTAATTTCATGTGCAACAATAGATAAGCAATCAATCATCTGAGACTTTGTTTCATTGCTATAGAATTCTGTTGAAAGGTTTTTTTAAAGCTTCAGTGACACTTCTGTAAGACAGGCAGGTGTTACAGATCAATTACAGACATACTGAAATTGGCAGCAGTTTTAAATAACAGTATTTTTCTTCCATGTAGATACATCCAGTTATTGACGAAGTCTTTGAATTTTCTGATGTTCCCATGGCCTTTCAGAAGATGGAAAGAGGGCATGCACGTGGCAAAACAGTGATCAATGTAATTAATAAAAAGTATTGAAATCTTGGTTTCTGTTTCTTTGTAAGAATTATTACTTTTAGACAGAGGGGAAATCTAAAATTTGTTACTACTGGTTCTGTGGGCGTGGCTTGGTGGGGGGGTAATGTGACTGGGTAGGCGTGGCCAATTTTTTTTTTTACTTTTAAAACCATTTTTTCTATAACCCCTTCTCCGAAGAGGTTGTAAAAAAATGCTTTCAAAAGGCTCTGACGATCCAAGCTGAGTTGCCTTATCATCAGAGGCATTTAAAAGAAAAAAAAATTTTTTTTCTTTTAAAAGCCTTTGATGATCCCAGCTGAGCTGCGCGATCATCAGAGACTTTTTTTTTTTACTTTTAAAAGCATTTTTTTGGCCGAAGAGGTTGTAGAAAAAATGCTTTTAAAAGTGAAAAAAAAGCCTCTGATGATTGTGCGGCTCAGCTGGGCATGGGGGGGAGAGGGATTTTGGCTACCAGTTCTCCGAACCAGGAGCATTTCACCCCTACTTTTAGACATTCCTGTGCTACAAATATTCTGTTAGCCATTTGTAAGAATTCCTACTTCAAAACATGAACATACTCTTTGGAAGTATATTACTTTGATATTAGCCTTTTAACATTTTCCAACTGAAATTCATAGAATGTTTTTGTGTAGTTCCTCATTGTTATTTAATAATAGTGGGGAGGGGAATTAAAAATGGATTCTTTATCATGCATTAGTATGAAGTATTTGTACAATGGCTGCATTGGATCACAGTTATATGTGGTTGAAAATGGTAGCTTTAGATATAGATATGGTAATTTAGGTGTATTAGTCTCCTGGTTCTATGAATATTAGTTACTCTTACAGGATGGAATTATGTACGTATACACAGGCAAATATATGTGTGGTTTGGTTGGTCTATCCTGTTGATCTAATCATTGGGACTTCTATTCAGAAAGTTTTTGTGGGTGTAAATGCAGTGATGGTTATCCATGGTAATAAAAATATGCTCTTTGTTCATCTGAACCATGGATTCTCTATTGCTAATCAATGTTGTGATTACCATGTATATTACCTTTAGAGCAAATGGCTGAAATTCTGCATAGCAGCAATTGCTACATTGATGTTTCCTCACCATTTTGTCAGAATTCTTATGTTTGTACAACAAAACAGATTCCATCTGAGTAATATTTATTTGTAAAATACATATGTTTATACAAGGGTTTGGACACAAAGACATTTTCTGCAAATACCACACCCTAAAATATTTTCTTTATCAAGGATATAAGCAGCAGTTTCAAAATGTTACCAGAAAAATATAGCAGCTACATGATTATTGCAAACAGTTATACAGCACATTGGGGTCAAAGTAAACATTTTAACATCTGTATTGAGTATTATGATTTCCCAATAAACAATGGCAAATTAACTCAATACTGGTTTCCAAACAAACCAGTGCAGCACTGTTAAATCCTTATAGATTTTCATGACATTTGACTGAGCAGCCTAAGGGTATTGCTAGTTATGACTTCAGATCTGTGTTGGAAGCTAATTGAGCCCCTACTGATTTCTCAGTGTGGCATAGCCAGGCATTTTCCAATGCAGGCTTGGCTAGCTCCTGCTGCTGTGGCAGGTTTTTGTGTGGTCTTATCAATTGTGTGTGTAGGGTGGGGGAAAGACACTCAGCTTGCTGCCTGGGCTTTAAGCAACATCTGATAATGCTCCAAGATAGTTGTTGGCAATGTTGCTTTTCAAGTCGTTTGTGTACATGGCAGCAGAAAACAGAAATAATAGTTACAGACCTGAGAAGAACAGCGAGGGCTATTGATGCAGGAGTTATTTTATTTCTAATTTCTCTTGTAAAATGCAGCACCTAGATTAGACATTCTGAAGAAACAGGGATTTATTAGCAGTGTTTTCCATTCAGTAGTAGTGTGTGATAGCTTTGTCATTAGTGATGACAATATAACAAATATTTTTGGTGGCATTTTTTTACCTGCCAGAATTTTAACATTTTGAAATTCAGCAGTTACATATAAACATATCTTAAAGTAGGGTTTGTTTTACTGTAGAAACAACTGTGCACAAGTAAAGCCAGCTTTAACATTAAATGTTCTGCAAGAAACTACTTGGTATTCTGATATTCAGGTTAGATTTTTCTGAATTCAAACTTTGAGACCACATTTTCATGTTAATGATCAGTATAGTACTAGAGGAATGTGAATGCAAATAAGGGGGTGTAAAGCAGGAATAACTGAACAGTGAACATTGAAATTACCTGAATACAGAATCAGAAATAGAAAACTTACATGCAATACACGTAGTGAGTTTCATCAGAGAAGGTTTAAAGCAAAGACATAGGGAAACATTTTTTAATGCAGTTCATTAAAAAGCAAGAACTGCTGTGCTACGCAAGTCACATATAGCTTGTTACACTATTTAAAGTAACTCAATTTAGAATACAGAAACAGTATACTTGTCATCTACAGAGATAGTAAGTGCAAATTGTGTAAAATAAGGCAGCCACGCAGATAATTGGCATTTTTAACAGATGAAAAACTCAGCAACAAATGTTTGTTAGGCACTAAAGCATTCATCTTTCACAATTTCATTTATTTTAAAATCATCTGAAATGATTTAGATTTTACATAAATATCTAATTTATTTTTTGATGACGTTGAACTAGTTAGCAATGAGTTTTCACTACAAAATATTCCAGTGCAATATAAATTCAATTTCAGCTCTAAGCTTGGAGCACCAAAACATTAAAAGTTTACTTGTACATTTAGAATTGCACATTAAAATGTTAGTAGCCTTAGTGATATAAAATAGCTGCTTGTGATGCATGTTTGTAATAAGAAAAGGACAGAAGAGTCTAAGACTATTTCCTTTCAACCCAGAATATTTATACCATATACTCATACACAATTTCATTCGTGGCAAAGGAAAGTATGGCCGAGCTTGCCAAACCTGTCATCTTCCTTGTGTCCTACCCAAAGAGTTGGAAAAGAGAAACTGAAACAAGGAGTCAATTCTAGGCATGTTATAACTCCATATTTAGTAACTTCCTCATTTCTGGTTTGGTCTGCCCCTCTGCAGAGCATGGAGGGCAGGGGCTTGAGCAAAATAATGAAACAAGGCAGAGTTAACAAACATAATAGAAATTCGGTGACATGACATCCATATGGGGTACTCTACTCTTGGATGCAGTGATGGAGTTAGCATATTATAATTTTTGTTTCTTCAAATGAACAAGCTGCTTGGAAAACCACCATTTGTCTAATCCACTTCTCAAGTATTGAGATTACATCTCAATCCGCCTTTTAAATAATCAGTGGCTCCCAGCACTGTGTTGGTCTGTCTTCACTGACTGTACTGAGAATTAGATGGTTTTGATCGTATTGTTTTCCCTCTATAAGAAAAAAATAATTTTAATTTAGTCAGATTATTATGATTTATCTTTGGATTGAACATTTCAGACATCTTAAAACTCCATCCGTATTTCTATATTTGCTCCCTTTTTCTATGATAATTTTGCTTTAAAAGAAATACTTCAAAGACATACCTTTCATTGTATTTCATTCTTCTGATTCGCTGCCATATAAATGTTTTCTGCATTTGTTTAGTTTTGCAAAGGTATTTCAAAAACACATTACATCATGTAATTATATTATAACCCAACATATGATTTATATGTAGTCTATAACTTATGACCACAATAGAACCCAAAATTTCTGCTGTTAAGCAAGACAATTGTTAAGGGAATTTTGCCCTTTCTTCCCATAGGTGGTAACTGAATCACTGTAGTTAAGTTAGTAACAGGGTTGTTAAGTGAATCTGGCTTCTCATTGACTTTGCTTGTCAGAAGTTCTCAAAAGGTGATCACATGACCTCAGGATACTGCAACTGTCATAAACCAGTTGCCAAACATTCAAATTTTGATCACATGACTATGGGATGCTGCAACAATCATGTGAAAAATGACTCATACATTTTTCAGTTTCATTGTAACTCCAAACTATCACTAAATGGTTGTAGGTCAAGAACTACCTGTACAAATGCTTAGTTATCAAGCAAATATTTTTAGCTTTAGTTGAGGGCCTTCAAATTTAGAAACCAGATTTAGAATCATAGGAATGTCATTTCCCAGTGTTAAATATAGTTACTTCTAGAGATGGATCAAAAGAATTAGAATTGTGTGTATATAAAATATTGTTTTGTAGCTAATTTTGGGTATACATTTTTTAAATGTCCATTCCACCTATCTTCTCTCATGGATCATAAGCTGATATACTAGTATCTCGGAAGGTCATTCCTATCTTCTCCATGGATCTGGATACTAGTATCTCAGGTCATTCCACCTATCTTCTCTCATGGATCATAAGCATATACTAGTATCTCAGTCATTACCTACTCTCATGGATCATAATGGTATACTAGTATCTCAAATCCCCTGAAATCTTGGCCAGAATGTCTTCAGGTTCATCAAACTAACTTTATAGCCTTTCTAGATTACACACTTCAAATCATGTTGAACTGACACAAATATTGCCAGTTTTAATTATCTATGATCTGAAAATGTTTTTCTTACAAATACTTCTGGTTAGGAGAATCGGTGAGTTAATTCTGCTGCATGCCAAGTGCACACTTTTGGATCCAAGAACAAGGGTAGGGCCTTTTTTTTCCTGCAGTTGAAAATATAGATGTGAGCAATCTGTCTTGTACTTGCAGGACAGATGGTAAAAGTACCTTATGGTTGAAAATAAATCCATTCCTTACATATTAAACATATAGAAGCTTCAGAAGCATTTTGCTGTATCTCTTGGGGAAGCATATAAAGAAAAATTCTTATAGATGCTATTTATTAAAAATTCCCCACAAGCTTATATGTAAAAATTTAATCGGCAAGAAGCCATTTTGGTAATGTATAAGTGGATAAAAGTATGAGGTATAAAATTAAGTGGAATAGTTCCATTTATTAGTTTCCTGAAATACTAATGATAATTTTATTTATTTTATTTATATTTCCTATTTCTAACCTCCCTAAGTATATGAAAGCTTAAAGTATTGTTATGCAGATTAGTTCTATGAAACATAGCTAGTTCTTGCCCTCCTATATGTAACAACCTGGGCCTAAAAACCATGAAACTGATTCTGAATAGATATACCCAGCATCATGCTGTTATTGTTACTTCTTGTGTCCTCCAGAGGGCACACTTACATTATGAGCTGCAAACTTACACTAGAATGTGAATTTATGTCTGTTAAGGTGTGTCATTTAAACTTTGAGGAGTCACTATATATCATGTTTTTTTAGATTAATAACAAAATGTAGAAAGGAGCTTTGATACAAATAACAAATCCTACATTTATTCCTGAATCACAGAGTGATTTTTGTACTTTCACATCTATTCCAATGTTTAGATGAATCAGACTTGCTATAAGATAAACTTGTTCTCCTCTAGCAATAGGTATTGTTTGTCAAGAGGTTTTTTTCCCCTGAGATCTCTCAGGTCAATTATGATTACAGATTCCTTACATTCATTTACTTGTAATACTATACAAAATGAACAATTCATCAGTTTGCATTAGGTATAAGGGTTCAAAAGCTGCCCCTTTAGAAATTGTTTCTTCATTGCAATTTTAAAAGAAAAAGTCTTTTCAATCAAGTCAGAAAGTCAAGAAAAAGCAGTAGTGCCCTTTATTTTTAGAACATTCTCTTGGATTTCAAAAAATACTAATTAAACACTTCCCTTTAGTTAAGCACCGGGCATGTTTTTTCCTTTGAGGCCATTATGGTTTATTTTTGTTTTTGTAATTGCTGATTATAAAAAAAAATACTCCACTTTGTAGTTTAATAATAATTCATATTATTCATACTAATTCATTATTCATAAATAATTCAAGGTGACTGAATTATTCTAACTACTCTTCTGTTATTATTTGAACACCAGATGATAAATGGAGCTTTATCATACTTGTTACATGAGCCAATATGGAGAACTTATTTTTGCTATTTACCATATGAAAATTAATTTTCATTAATCAAATAAAGTTCATAACTTAGCACTAAAAAGTTCTTACCTTTAATATCTAATACTAAATTTGGTTTCATTTTGCTGTAAATCTTGCCATCAGAATGAAAACTCCAGTTTTGCTTTTCATCATTTTGCTGAAGGGCCAGGCCCAGCTTTGTACCAGGAGTGATCAAATTTCCTACAATCGTTAAGCAGATGTCTTCTGCCCCCTGTGCACGGAAACAGCATCAGTTAGAGCCCAGTTCACACTATCACACAAGTAATTGGTCACATGCTTGGATAAAAAGTAGGTATTTCTGAGGGGTCCTTGGTGCTCTCTGAGCTTAGCAGTTTCATTACCCAAGCTACGTAACATCATCAGTGCTAGTCCTGATAGTCCTGACTAGCACTGATGATCTTATCTAGTTTGGATAATGAAATTTCTGCAAGAAAACAACCAAGCTTAGAGAGCACCAAGGATCCCTCGTGTCAACCCTGAGCTACAAATATTCTCTTTTATTGGCAGATATTTTTATTTACCACTTGGAAATTTATTCATGCCAAAATGATTCTCAATATGTTGTTTAAAGATTTCAGCTTCATCATTACTTAAATAAAGGATATCTTTCTAGATTGCTGAAAACATTCAGTATTTTCAAAACATAATATTCAGTTACGTGAAATTCAAGGTATGGTATATCACATTTATAATTCAGTTAATATAAATGATCTCACCAATTCAAGCTGCTCAGCATCATTAAATTGCAAGTAAGCAATAGGCCTTAGCTTCTTTTTAAACCTATGCTTTTGGAGCTACTATAATGAGGCCTACTCTTATCGAAAAACCTGTTTTTGTTCTTAGCCAAGGGGCTTCCTCTTCTTTTAATAGGAGATTCTATGAGGTGTTTTAACACTAAGGAAAGGCCTCTTCCCAATCCTGCCAAGAATTGGTTGCAAGAATTCCAGCAAGAAATGCTCAAATGTAGAGAAATCAAAGCCATGTGACAAATGTTACCAAATATCAGAAAGGAAAATACTGAAAACCCTTTTATGTTGTTTTAGGTGGGGCATTAAAATTAACACCTTCACTTTTTTAGTCTGTTGTAAGCTACAGCTTCTCATCTTCCCATGTTCAAACATGCTCTTACAAAGGAGGAACCTTTTCCGCTCCGAGACAGGTTCACAGGATGATAATATAGTTGAGAAATTTCTCCCTTGGAAGGATGCTTTGGGAGATGTAACCCAACTGTAAACAAGAGATCAATAAATAGCTTGCCACTTGGCTATCTTCACTGGATTTGATGTTAACGAGTCTGTACACTATTAAACATGAAGACTGAAGAAGGCTGCAAATTGGCTCCTAGATCAATTGACCAGGTTTAACTGACAGGCAATTTAAATAGAAAGCCTCAATGTACGATTGAAGTTTGTAATTGGATTTAAGAAGTGCAAATTGTGTTCTGAAGAACTGGGAATCAAGAAGTTCAATCTGACAAATAACTACATAAATTAATAACTGAAAAATTATTTCTACTCTCAAAAGCTGTTTCTACAATTTTACTGACAATTCTCTTTTGTTATTAATTGCTATGGGTCAGCAATGGCAGACATATCGAATTTTCTGAAAGGCTCAAAACCCTAATCAATGTAGCCGAAGACAAGGCAAAATAAATAAGAATCAAATCTTCATTTCTAGCTAATTCCTGCAAATATGTGCAATGTTGCAAAGCAGACCTTAACTCATATTTTTTAATCGTCTTGCTAGTGCTTGAAGGTAGATGTTCAAGAAATAGAGGGATGAGTCTAAGACTCAACTGCTAAGTAATATAAACAAATACATTAATAAAGGGAGTAAATGTATACCGTACATATGGTCCTTTTTTTGTTTTTAATTTCAGAAATTGTTATGGGACCACATAACTAGAATTATATCCTATTTTAGAAGAAAATGGACTAGTAGACTGGGCATTAACAGCATCCAAGCATGCTGAGACAGGCACCAAGGTCCTTGGGTCATGACTAAGTCTTCTGAGATAATTACTTTGCCATTGCTGAGCCCTACAGGGGATTGCCTCCAAATCTCTGCCACTTTCCATTTCCTTCCCTCTTTGCTTACCCAGCAGGTAACATTTTTAGAGGGGAAGCAATCCAGCTGCTGCCAACATAGCCTCTCCAAATGCAATTCTGCTGGATTAAGTATATCTAGAAAGAAGGCTGATTAGCAGTAATGACATCCCACGCAGGTTGAGTCTTTTAGCTTGGTAAAAGAGAGGCATCAGCTGGAGGCACTGTGAGAATGGCCTAGTTCGTCCTAATCCTGCTAAGGACTGGTTATAGTCATAATTAATAGGAAGAAGAAACTTAATTGTAATGAAAACTAATGATAGAAATAGCTGAAGAATAATAAAAAGAAGCTTGTTGGTCACAGGCTATATTTATTAAGTAAATAAACAAAAAGAGAAACAGGGTGGACTCCTTTCAATTACTTTTTGTTTCTGTGGGGAAGCAATACCTGTTTTCTGTTTGTCTTATGGAAAGTCTGTCAAATATGCTGAATTGTATTCTACAGCAAGACATGTTTCATACAGAACCTTACCCTACATTTGATGAATCCATCTTGATAAAGCCAGATCTGGTCTCCAGATTTATTGTCTTCCACAGCTTGTATCCTCAGAAGACTCAAGTCATCCATATTTCCATCAGCTGCCATGAATTTTCCGGTCTCTTTGTTTCTGAGTCTGAAGTACACTTGTTTCTGAAATGTAACTAGTTTTCTTTAACAATAATAAAACACCTTCAAGATTTAGCATTTCCCCCTTCTTTTAAACTAATGTTAATATTATTAAAGGGAAATGTAACTAAAATATATGTACACATTTGTAACTACATTTTGAATATTAATTTTACTGTACATTTTTATTTTATTTCATATTAAAAATAACATGCAGATGAACATTGTATATTGCTTAGACTTGATTGATAATATACACACTGAAAACATGATTTTTCCTAAATGGAAATTGATGTCTAAATAACTTTTATGAAGAAGACTTTCATGTTAAGTATTTAGGTTTTCCATAAGGAAGTAAAATGAAATCTATTAAATAGTTGAAACATTTTAAGTAAATAATCATACCTATTACATTTTTTGCCGCAAGAACATTTTACATTTTGGAAAAGAGAAGAAAAAATGGCACTATGTTTAAAATGTACAACCCAAAATTAGAGAACTGAACTAAATCCTAATTTCAAAAAAAAAAATCACTGAGGACAAGAAATGTGTGATTTCAGCATTCAGTATCAATAATAAAAGATATTTCTAAAACCTCAAAATGAGAAGCGGAATATTAATTGGCATGAAATATTGAATAGACTCACTAGTGATTTTATTCAGTGTTTACATGTGAAAGGCAATATGCCTACATTTTGATTCAGAGATGTAATTTTGAACAAAACTGAATGATAGAATGAAAATCACCATTTAAAATTCCCAAAGACCATAGTTCTTATAATATTATAGAAGATAAAAATCACATGATTTGTATCATGTGATTTAAATGGTAAAATAGAATTTTAAGGCAAAGAAACAACACTGGAAGAGAAGTTGAATGAAGATGATAGAATGATAAAAACTTCATAAAAAGCTTTTATATCCAAAAATGGGCTGTAGTACCCCTCTTACCTGCAATAAAGGTCGTAGGGAACCAATTTTGTGATAGCTGCTTGTCTCTTTCCAGTTTGATATTTTTTTAGGCGTTAGTAAAATCTGACGGCCTTTATAATTATGATGTTCATAAATAATCCATCTGAAAAAAATATCTAGTTATTATATCTGTAAAATAATGCTTTTGCTAAAATATCCTTTAAAAAAAATATATAACTTAATTATGAAGTTATGTATTTTTTAAAAAAGGATATCTATTAGGGGGATATTTTAGAATCAATTTATAAATATACTGACAAGTATATCATGATACTTGTCAGTATATTTATTTCCCATGACATTCTATAAGAGTTCTTCCAAAGTCTCTTTTATGTCTATTTTGTATTACATGATGACTTCACATGTTTGAATCTAACAAAGCCATTTCATATATTTGAATCTAATAAAGCCATAATGCTTAATAGGCTCTTAGAAAATAAAGTTGTGTCACCAAGAAATAGGAGCGTCTCTTTGTTCTAGCCCTCCTCATTTGTTCAATAACATAGATTTATACTGATTCATTACAGTAATTTTCAGAGGATCCATGGGAGCTAAATAACTATTATGTCTGAATCCTTGAAGCATGGTTTAAGTTTATGATTTGAGATTGGCTAAAAGTCAAGGTGTTTATTAAGAATGAGCTAAATCCAATGATTGGGTGAGCAGATTTTTCCTCCTTCAGTCTCTGATCCCCCAAATTAGTTTTGCAGACTTCCAGAAGTCTCTAGAATACATTTTGAGAATTTATAAAGAAGTCTGTTGACCTTTTTCTGTTCTATCGATTGAAGGAGTTTTAATGGAAATGGTTCTACCTTAAGGTAGCAAGATAGAGACACTTTTCTTTTAAAAAACATTCAAATACACAAAAAAACTATGTTTAACTTTTTTTAAAATGGCATAGCCTGCATGGTGGAGAGTGGGACATAATATCTACCTTTAACAAATCTGTGACAAAAATCTTATCAATTGTGTGAAATTAAGTATTATTTTTCTGGAATTATATTATATTAAAAGCACCAACATAGTTTTGCTATTTTCTGTAATATAAACATCTAAGAAAAAGTTCATTTGATTTAGTTCTCTGGGTGAATCTGAAACCAGTAATTGTCAATTGTCTATGCCTAGCTTGACAAAAAGACAGGTATATATGCTTTCATATAGACACTGGAATGATATATTAAAGGAAGCATTATAGGAAATCCTATTTAAATTCTACAAATAATAAATGTTCAAGTTCAAATTATAACTTACATGCCACCATGGACTTCTACTGAAGCAATATGAGGATTGTAGCCAAGAAACTGGAGATTTACTATTTCTGTAATGAATTCAAATTTCTTTCCTTTGAAGTTTTCTTTTTCAAAAAGGGTTATAACTGGCTCAGAAAGTTCCTGTTTTTTTTTAAAAAAAGGGAGGTCTTAAGTTATTGTTTTGCCAGCAGGGAATTATAGTGCTAATATTCTAGACAGAAAAAGTGATATATACATGAAACACTGTGGATGACTTTTTTTTTTCCAGACTGAAAAAATATATTTTGAATAGAATACATGGTTATATCTTTTAACACTTCATTTACTGGGAATTATTCAGTCCTCAGGAATAAGTCGACATCTTTAAAGCTTTAAGTTCTCCTAAATAATTTAAATATTTATCTTTTCAAATAATTCCATCATACAAAACTGCCCAGATGGCAAAGTCTAGAATAAAGGACTTTGCTCATTGAAAAGGTATTCCAGGTGTGGGAGGAAAACGAGGAGAAGCAAGGTGATTACTTACAACCACACCTTTCATTCTTGGCTGACATTTTCATGAGTCAGCAGTAGTTGGGTTTCAAGAATTCCCTTGCAAATTGTTGGCATCTGGAATATTTATAGTTTTTTATTGCTAGTGCCACAATGTTAGAATTCCAAAAGACTTGTTTTCTCTGAGGAAGAATTTCTAATAAAATCATACAATTTTTCAAATGAAGCCTTCGGGGTTTGGAATCTGTTCTCCAGATTTCTTGGACTTGCTGATTCTTAGTGGACTTTAGTGAATCACTGAAACTTCATTTGCAAGGAGCTAATTTTATGTATTACATAACTGACTTTCCACAGTAAGTATCTGCCGCCTTAAACCATGTAAAATAGACCCTTTTTTCATTTTGTTAATTTACATCAGTGTATACACAGTTTCATTCTGGTTTCTGTTTTAATAATCATAGATAAAAAGTGCAATATGTAGCCTTACTTTATCTACACATCCCTTTAATTCTATAATACCAGATGCATTGTTGTGCGAAAAAAATCATTTTATATGCCCGAACAACTGCATTGAAATAGATAAAATCATTTAGCAAAAAGAGCACCTTTCAGTACAAGTTCACATTACCCTAATCCTAAATCCTTTGCTTTGGGGTGGAATTTATTCTGTTCAAATGGGTACCTTTTTTTCAAACTCAAAACAGACTTGTTTGGATTCTCCAGGGACAAATTAATACACTCTTCAAGTAGGATTATCTCTACTCGTGTTTACTTAAGCTTTCATCTAAGAAAAACTTAGGGGCGTAAACATGTTGAAATTCCAGCCCATGTTTATCATCGCTCTTAATACCCACACAATTATCTTTCTCTCCCAATTTTGTAAAACCTCTTTATTTTTTCCCCCGGTATTATTCCAGCCAATTAGTAACAAACTGTAACCAAGAAAACATTATGGCATTATGGAGTTAAACTTAGTGATGTCTTCTCAGATTGTGCTACATAATAAAGCAATCAAGTCAAGCATACTGCAATACCCAAGGATATATTTTGCTCTATTTTATCTCATACATATGCATCCCAGGAAGATGTCGATGTGGCTATAGGTATATGATGCCTCTAGCCTGATCACACAGAGATGGAAGCTTGGTTTCTAGTTTTGTACTCAAAGAAGAATTAGTAGAAAAGAAGCTCCTCCTCCTCTTCTCTACTGATCTCATTGCATACTTTCACTTGAAGCTGCTTTGCTTTTAATTGAACTCCAATACTAGAAACTGAATTGGTCTAGGGTGAAAAATACAGGTAGTCCTCGACTTACAACAGTTCAGTTAGTGACTGTTCAAAGATACAACAGCACTGAAAAAAGTGACTTATGACCATTTTTCACACTTACAACCATTGCAACATCCCAATGGTCATGTGATCAAAATTCAGGAGCTTGACAACTGGTTCATATTTATGACGGTTGCAATGTCCCAGGGTCATGTGATCACCTTTTGCAACCTTCTGACAAGCAAAGTCAATGGGGAAACCAGATTCACTTAACGACCATGTTACTAACTTAACAACTGTAGTGATTCACTTAACAACTGTCGTAAAATGGGGTAAAACTCATTTAACAAATGTTTCACTTAGCAACATAAATGTTGGGCTGAATTGTAGTCATAACCCGAGGACTACCTGTACTTCAAGCTAGTGAGACCAGTGAGATATGTTTTTGTTTTACATTTTTACTTGTTTTTATGTCTACACTATTTACAAGTCACGTCATCCTAAAAGATTCTGGGAGGCATATATTAACAAACAGATCAGGTTTAGTTGCAAAGTCAACTCTGAAAAAGAAGATTGGGTTATCAAAGAGTTAACTATTATTTTTGTTGACTAATGGAGTGATAGAATAATAACTTTCTAAACAAATTAACAATCTGTAAATACTTAAAAGTATCGAGAATCAAAGATGTTATTACTTAGGATTATAACTCATATGCTCTCACTACTATGCTCACAGAAATCATTCACATATATTTTGAAGCCTCACCCTTTTCTAACCTACTTAGGTATAAAACTCTTTTTCACAACTTACAATATTTATAACTTGTAACGATTTCAAGCACGTTTGGGGTAGGCAACCCATTGCAGACAGATCAGGATAGGCTCCTTCTTCTAACACATACTGATTCCCAGAGAAATTTTCTTTATCATATGCAATCCAACTACAAGAAAAAAAAAGGAAGCAAGAACACAAGATAGATTTTAAATATTTTCAAGATTGAAAACCTGCTAACGAGACTGCTGAGCCAAATGCAGCAACTATTTGGTATTTCCATTCATTATTTATTTGGTGAAGACTAGGGATAGAAATCAGATTTTAAAGAACAATAATATGAAACGGTACAATTTACAAAATCGTCAACCATTTTCCTTTATGTACTTAATTGAAAGAGAATCCAGGCACACTTTCTAAAATGTAAGAGGAATAATTCAAACAGACAACTCATCTTCAGAGCCAGGCAAATGCTTTGGATTTGTGGGAAGAAATAAAATCAGGAGCACCTTACAAGAACTGCAAACTTAGAATCCTTAGAAAAGAACATGGTTTAAGTGTTACTGACAAGTCCTCTGACTCACATTTCTCCCTTCAAATGCAAGGCACTAGTAAGGCTTATTTATTTTTAAGGCAAACAATCCTTCAATGTACTTTTGGACTCGTCCCTCTGTCATTCATCTTAGGTTAAATTTAATGTATTAAAAACAAAAAATACAGGAAACTCAGTATAGTTGTAGTTGCCCATAAACAGCCAGTGACTTGGAGTGGTTCCATGCATCAGCATAAAAGTATGTATCCATCCAGCCCAGTCTAAATGACCTCCCTTTGTACCTCTTTCAAAAATGTGATTCCATAATAGCTTGTTGACTAGAACACATCAAAGTAACTTTTCACTCACCTGCCAGATAATACTTTTGAAGATTTAGCAGGAAATTCCGCAATTTGAGAAACATCTTTCTCAAGTATTTGACTGCTGCCTTGGAACTCTGGTTCTGAAAATAACTGGACCTTTAAAGGTAACAGAGATCATATAGATTAACAATACATCCAGACATAATCTGTCTTCTCTCGCTTGATATAAATGAGGCAGATTTTTGCTGTTTCTTCCTGGATTATCTTTATACTCTGCAACAACTCTCCCCACATCCCAATTCTTCACTTTTCTTAAGTCACTATACATCTGACTCGGCTTCCATTCCATATTGCCTATGCAAAATATTTGATTATTTTACCTTAAATTTTCCCACATGATCATTGATGATATCCTAAAAAAATACAGAGAACAAAAAATAAGAAAATGACACCAGAAAAAATATAATAATTTATGAGTAAAGAAAAACATTTTAAAAACCTGTTGTTTTTTAAAGAGGAATCTTACCAAAAGTATGGGTTGAACTGAAGATATCTTATTATTCTTTGCTCCCCAAGCTTCACAGCTGGGGTACATTCCTTTATCAAGAATATATTGTTCTCCTGTAAAGTCAGGGTTTTCATAAGCCACCCACCTAAAAGAATGTCAATTATATTTTATTATATAAATTATATAAAATGATTTTAGTGGAACTTTACATTTATATATATTAAGGACAGAAAAAGTCAATAAAAGAACAGCAAGACATAGTTGTATACATAGGTTTTTTTTTTTTAAGGTAACATGATTTGCCTCTGTGCATTATTTTTTTCAGTAAGTGGACTTAACAAATAACTCAGATTTTTTTTAAAGGACTCAATGTCTATTTCCATGCAGGATTTGTAGGAAACTGATTTGTTCAGACTCTGCCATTCATATAACACTTAAGGAAACTTTTATACTTTTTCCTATTATTATGCAATTTGAAAACACAATCCTACCTCCTCTGGGAGTATCTCCTATTGAACTCAATTTAGTTTCAGGACTGACATGTTAATAATGAAGTTAAAGCTATTTTTCATTGAACACATGTGAAATTACATATAGGTTCCTTTAGTAAAGTTTTTGTATGTTGCATTCCCCCCCCCAATTCTCCAAGTGTTACCTCAAAATATCATGAGATATTATAAAAGTGACTGTTATGTGCTTTGGCCACTTCCGTTTCTTATTTTATGTTTATTCTTATGAATGTTGTTTAACTACGGTACCTGGTAATTAATTGGTTAATGTTTATTCTGATATAAAAACCCAGACATAGCTGTAAATTGCTTGGCCAAAGTGACATGGCTATGAACAACATGTTAACCATTAAGTCCAACCAGGCGTGTTTGCACTTGAACCTGAACTCAAAAGTTTTTAAAACAGTCCAGGCTTGGCTGGTTCTCAAAGACATCAGACTTTTCATTCTACAAACGACATGCTACTCCTATTGCATTAATGCATAACTGAAAACATGAATATGGTGTTATGCTAAGAATCTAAATAAAGAATAATGGTTTCTTCATTCAAGACTATCATGAAAATATATTGCATGATTTGTGCCAACTACAATTTTCCTTCTTATTCCCTTAATCTGTGCTTTCTCAACAGAAACAAGTACAGTACTGTATCCTGCTTTTTTGAACTGCTATTGAAGCAGGAAAAAACATCTTTAGTGTCCTTTAAATTATTTAAATACTAGGTATGGTTTTAAATATGGTCCTCACAGAGGGATGAAAAGACACACTCAGGATCTCACAGTGATTTGCAGAGAAAAAGTCAAATATCAGTACAGGGCATAGTTTGTTAAGTAAAATAATACTGCTTTTATGCTAATTTTAATTATGATCCACTTTAGCTCCTGATAAAATTCAAGTGAGGTTTTTTTTTCTGTATTTAACTGTATGACTTTAATAGTTTGTATATATTTAAGAGAAAGAAAACATGAAGAAGCTAGAATAGCACTTTCTTCAAATTATAGTTGACTTGATCCCTTCCTTATGCTTGTTTCTGTTCATACCTAAAAGGACAGAGGCACTTTTGCACTTAGAATAACCTATTTGTGGTATAAATTACAGTATTTTGATGAGATTTGAGCAACCAATTTTTTTAAAAATCATAGTCAGTTACCCAAAGTGTGTTTGAAGTCTGAAGTTAGTTATAATTTCGACATCAGCCTATGATCAAATGGTGTACAGTATAAACCTTTAAAGGAAAAGTTGGGGAAGCCCCAGAAAATTCTGAGTTGGGATATATTCCATAGGAACGCCCCAATAATAGATGTCAGTGGTGAATACAAGTTCTTCCCTTGCTTTGATTTCATTCATGGGAACTCAGTGAGGAAGACTAATCTGAGCAGGATTAAGATTCTGTGTTAATCACCACTCCTGAATCAGGACAAGGACATTTGCTTATGTTGCCAAGCACTTCAATTTCAAAGTGCTTTGACATAGTTGCCAAATTATGACAAATGTATTCCTGCAGGGAATTAAATATTTATGTAAAGTGGCAGAACAGTGCAATACACCTTTTGTCTCTGAAAGGAAAAAAGCAATAAGGTTTGTAACCTATTACACATATATAATTGCAAAAATGTGCCTTACATGAGGAATTTCAGAGCACTCATTTAAAAAAACCTTGGAACACTTAACTGATTTCAAATTGAGTATGCGCCAACAATGTGATCTGGCTTTAAAAAAAGGCAAACTAGTTTTAGCCTGTATTAGTAGTTGTATAATTTTCAAATTATGGGAACGGATAAATCCAGTAGGTGAGATATTGCCTCCATTTATGTGCTGAGTTCTGGGCACCACTTTTTAAAAAGGATTCAAAGAAATTAAAGAAATTCAAAGAAGGTCAATGCAAATTATAATGGGACTAGAAACAAGTTCACTAAAGAGAGATTAAGAGTGCTGGGCATATTTAGTCTTGAGAAAAACTCCTCAGAAGGGACTAAGTGTACTTCAAATAGTTGAAAGAATGTTATATAGACTTATTTTCTCTTGCTCCAAAGTACAGGAATTCTGCGTCAGAACAAGGAATAATGGATCTAAGTTACAAGGAAACAGATTCTAACAGAATGTTAGAAAAAAAGTTCCTAATACAGGTAGTCTTCGAATTACAACACTTCATTTAGTGACTGTTCGACGTTACAATGGCACTGAAAAAACTGATTTATGACCGTTTTTTAGAGTTACAATCTTTGCCACATTCCCATGATCATGTGATCAAAGTTCAGATGCTTGGCAATTTGTTCATACATATGACCGTTGCAGTATGCCGGGGTCATCTGATCACCTTTTGCATCCTTCTGACAAGCAAAGTCAATGGGGAAGCCAGATTCACTTAACAACCAGGTTACTAATTTATCAACTGCAGGGAGTCATTTAACAACTGTGGCAAGAAAGGTTGTAAAATGGAGCAAATTAACAAATGTCTCACTTAACAACAGAAATTTTGGGCTCAATTGTGGTCATAAATCGAGGACTATCTGTTCTAAGAACAATTCACCAGTGTAAAACAATCGATCGGCAGAGATGTAGTGGACTTCCCTTCATTGGATTTGTTCTGTCCCCGTCTCACACACGCACACAAACAGATAGCCAGGGGTTAAACAAAACTGGCAGACAACAAATTCTTTCGATAAGAGGATTGGCAGCAACCCAGTAGCTGCTTGCCAAGAACTTTACTCAGAGGGAGGGGTTGTTCCTCCGACAGATAAACCCAAACAAGATACACACAGTTCAAGAATTGTCAAGTCCAGTCCGTATAAAATCCAAGGCAGATAACGTTATTTCAAAGATACAATGTGACTCGCTAGTAGTTTGTTTTGTCTGTCACAGAGTCTGAATGGCCACCTCACCCCTTTTATCCCCTGTGGGGTGTGGTCCAGTGACTCAGCTTAATCTCTGGCACGCCTCCTTTTCTGCTGCGTGCACCTATCTCTCCGACGCTGGTGTGGATCCAGCCAAGACTTATCTCCATCACTGTCCGACTGCGAGGAGATACCTGGCTCCTGGCCAATCTCTTCTCCTTTGGGAGACACCTGGGGCATTGCCAGAGAGGAGGGTCCTGGAGAGGGAGGCCTGGCCAACTCCTCTCCTTCATGTTCGGAGCCTTCTCCCTCCGATAAGTCGGCCTCGGGGGTCGAAGTCACAACAGGATTACTGGTATTGAAGTGGAAGCTAGAGAGCCATCTATTCTGAAAGGCTGCTTTAATTTAGATTTCTTTACTGATCAGAGAGGTAGACTCCGTTGCCTTAATGCCCTCTTTCAATTCTATGAGCCTATGATTCTAGTTTAATTTGCGATCATCTTCCTAATAATATTTAAAATTCACCCAAGAAATTGCACTTTTTATTTTTTAAAGTTTCATAAGGGAAATCTTTTTTTCTTTGGCATTTTAATATGAAGAGAGTTTTCACTAAAACCATTAATGAATATAATGTCCGATGCTCTTGTGTTTATTCCCGTGCCAACATTTCCCATTAAATTTAAAATGAACGTCTTACTTACACTCCACTAATCACATTTACGGATTGTGTCCTTAATCCATAGCCGGTATCCTTCAAATTGGAAATAATCCCTAATACATTTATACTGGAGCCTTTATTGCCAAAGTCTTTTTCAGTGTACATTATCATGTGAGGGTGCATCAGATCCTGAAGAAATAAAAATCAAACAAAGATAAACAGAGAAATAAAGACATAAATTAACTGTTTATCATATAAGAACATTTCCCTATTGAGCATATTATTGTTGCCTTGTTTAGATGTGGTAAGAATTGAAACAGAGACAGTGTAAAGAGGAAACTAACAGTAAGAGGTAGCCATAAAATAGAATAGAATAGAATAGAATAGAATAGAATAGAATAGAATAGAATAGAATAGAATAGAATAGAATAGAATTCTTTATTGACCAAGTGTGACTGGACACTTGGTCAATAACACTTGGTCACACTGGTCTTTGGTGTATATGCTCTCAGTGTACATAAGGAAAATAAAATACATTCATCGAGAATAAAAAGATACAACACTTAGTGATAGTCAAGGTTACTAATAAGCTATCAAATGAAGGATTAAAAAAAAGAATGACCTAGCACTCTCATGGAAACTGCCTTCACTTATTACAGGCAATTAGGAGTATCTGGTTTGAGGGTATTTAGCGGATTAATTGTTCAACCAAAAGGAGTCCTCTAAAGGAGGAGTTTAACCCTTAAACATCCTTCAGCTATCTCAGTGTCCTCTGGATACACTTGAACTTCAGTGCTCAAAACTAAAACCAAAAGTTAGCAGGTCCAATAGCCAACATATCTGGAGAACAGCAGGTTGGAAACAAGCGCGCTCAATTGTTAATGGCACATTTCCTCTGAAATCCATCGTGATGCTCCAAAGTCTGTGATCAATCGCACTGAAAGAGCTACACCTCAACCAACCTCATAGGAAAAACTAATTTCAATGACCCGTGCAAATGCTGCCTTAGCACTTCCAGTGCTTCAGGTAATCTGGATGCTGACTAAAACACACATCTGAGCACTTTGCTACAGGCATTTCTCTCCTTAGCCTTTTAATACAGGAAGTGGTGTCCTGGCAAACCCTCCCCTTCTTTCCTGTACCAGTTGGTGACACTACATAATTACATTGGAATTGTTGTCCTGGCTCTCAACAATTTGCTGATGGATCCATTATGTCATGCCCCCATTGGAGCCTGAATCAACAGGGGAGGATGAGCTGGAGCTGTGGCCGATGGAGACTGAGGGGGTGGCTTCGTAGGAAGGGGGGGGGAGGACGAGGAAGCCCCAGGCCCCTCAGGCTTGGGATGGCTTGCCAGCAGGAAGGAACAGGGGCAGGACAACCGAGAGAGGGCAGGCAGTGGAGATGAAGACCGACGGAGTTCAGGCAATGAGCAAGGACCACCCATTCCTGACCCCTGAGCACGGAGAGTGGAGAGGCGGCAGGAACAGTGCAGGCCAACCCCGCCCCTCTTCATAAAGCACACCTGGGGACTGAGACTTAAGGAGATACTGTGGGGAGGGGTGTTTGTCAGAAACAAACACTGAATTTGTGGAGTTTTGTGTGCCGTTGCTGACATTTGGAGTTTCCTGGACTTCTTGCCTTATTCCTTGCTTCCTGGACTAATTGCTTTGTTCATTTGCTTCCTGAAACCATTGGCTTGTTCCTTTGCTTCTTGGACTCATTGACTTATTCCTTTGCCCCACTGGATTTCTTGCTTTGAAGCGTTTTGCTGGACTACTTGCAGCCAGAGGTTGCTGGAGTGTGTGTGTGAGCACTTTGCTCTGGGACTTGCCATAAATGTGGGAGCATTTGGGGGAACGTTGGAGCAATAAAGGGGCATTTTGAACTATCAGCTGACTGTATTGCCTCTGTGCCTTGCCCTGGGTCATCACACATTAATGGAAATAAATACAAAGAATGGGTAGAAAGCTCCACTTCCCTATTTAGTAAGAAGGAAAGAAAGGCCTGTTTGATTCTGGTGTGCTCTGAATGGCTGTTCCTTCTACTTTCTCCTTACTTCAGATCAGCCTCAAACTCTGATTGATTTTCACCTCTGCCATTTTAACAATCTTGTTTCTCTGTTTCCAGAGAATACAGAAAGCTTAAACTGCTATCATTATCAATCCTCCTTGTATTGTCCTATACAAGACAAATATAAATTGGTTCTTTGCATATCTGTCTGTATAGCCTGGCATTTCATCAAATCATGGACAGCCCAGATAAGCAAGCAGTTCAACAAATCCTGGAGATACCAAGAATAACACAGGGATGCGGCTCAGGTAGATATACAGTAAGTAATACATTGGACTACAGTTCATATCATGACAGTAACCAAGATTTCTAGCAATGATATTGGGAGGAGTTGGGAGGCGCAGCCCAAAGGAACAGGAAGGAAGCAGGTAGCACACAGCATTGCTTTTCAGGTTTATACTTCAGATTCAAATACACATTTTCATCCCCAACTAGACATACAGTTTCAGATGAATGAATCATCCAACAGATCCAGCAAATGACTCACTCTCTTACATACATACTTTTTTTTCCATCTTATCTTTACTGAACTGAGCATAAGTGCAATGTAAAGGAGAATGTAAGGAAGGAAAAATTGTTCTGAAAACAATGAAAAAGGTACATTGCATTTCGTTAAGGTTATGCCAAGATTATATATTCTTAAACTTACCCCTAGTACAGGCCGAAGTGATTGCAACTGTTCATCATAACCACCCCAGTCCGTCCATTCCTGGTATTCACCTTCTTCCAGTAAATACTGATGTCCTTCAAACTCTGGCTTCTCATAAGCAACCCAGCTACAAATAGCGAACAAAAATTGAAAACTCAAAAACAAGCATGATTGTTAAAATGTCATCTTAAAAGGACCACAAATGAAGCATAAAATAAACTGAACTAACATTTTAAAGTAAGGCAATTTTTAAACTCTGTTTAGATCACCATTTGTAACAAATGGTATTATACTGTCCAATTGTACTCAGCTTTAGCTAAATTTTAAATCAGATTGGTAGGAAAAATAGTAAGATTCATATAACTTCAAAAAAAACCCCTAATCACTATGCTTTAATACTAGCATTATCCTACTGTATGGCATGTTTGTTTACTTAATAGTGATGATAATTCATTCATTTCATTTGAATGTATTTTTGAATACACCTAGTCCTGCACTATTTGCCATAATATTAACACAACTTTCAGAAAAAATATGCTCTCTAAATTTGTACAATTTTAATAAGTAAATAATGAAAACATGAAGTTTTACTATTATAAATGCTTCACTGACTTGTTCAGATTGGTATTTTAACATATTTAGACGTTATAGTTTTTCCTAACCTTCCAGTTTAATAACTAATAACATGTTACTGTTTCCACAACAATTATGAGTAATATCACAGGGGCTTTAAAGTACTGTTTCCTTAATCTGCATTTTAGGATGTAATTTCTAGTTCCATAAAGACATGAAGTGGTAAAAGTTTCAACTTCCTAAATACTCCTGCATTTTAGGAATCTTAGAGGGTTTTAAAGATTTTCTAAATCTTTCCCAAATACTTACCCCTTTAATGTGACAAAAATATTTTAATACCAGCTCTGATATTTGGACTGGATCCAATCAGCCATATTATTTGTGATATAACCAGCTTAAATCCCATTAAATCAGTGGGCCTATTTAAATATTATTTAATCTGGATTCAATTTTGTGTGTGTGTGTGTGTGTGTGTGTGTGTGTGTGTGTGTGTGTGTATGGCCTCATATATATCCACTGTTCCTGAATGAGCCTTTCTTTTGGACTGTATACTAAAGCTGTAGATTCTAATTACCGTATATTCTTTCATAAACATACATGCTGTGGACATGGTCCTAAATCATATATTTGTAAGATTTATATCCCACTTTACGTACACAACATTCATTCCTCCATTTTTCTATCAACAATCTTATGAGATAGTTAAGAGAGTAATTGTCAGTAAGTTTTTGCAGCTGAAAGTCCTACTCCAACACTTAACCACGACACTACATTCACTCTCAATGCCAATTTCTCTACCTCTACCCTCCAGGGGACATAAAATGAGATGTTATCATTTTTTTCCTTATACCTACATTCCTGCCTTCACTTTTATGGATCCTATTGATGTAAGCAGCTCATTTTCCAACTCTTCAGATTCTTCAGTTCTGTCTCCTTCCTTAGCAAGAGCTGTTAATTCTGAATCCAGTTCTATATGTTTTCCTTCAAAGAATGGCTTTTCATAAACAATTACCTTAAACAAAATAGTTTACGGTTAGAAATTTGCTTTCTCTTCAGACACCAAAAGCTAATGTGAATATATGATATACCAACAAAATCAGAACCATCTGAAACCTGCTAAAGGAAGACTTTCACCAGAGAAACAGATTTCTTTTTCTTTTATAACCAAACCTTCACATATTTTCCAGAGTATCAGGTGAACAAAGTTGCCAACACTGCACCTAAAGTTACAGATTTGAAGGCACTATCTAAGGCAGTATTTCTCAATCTCAGCACCCTTCAGATGTGTAGACTTAATTCCCAGAATTTCCCCAACAACCATGCTGGCTGGGGAATTCCGGGGTATTGAAGTCTATACATCTAAAAGTTGCTGAGGTTGAGAAACATTGATCTAAGGGAATCTTAGAAACCATAATTTGTCAGGATATAAATAAATAATGTAGATAATCAGCGGCATGAATGATTGGTATATGAATATAAACTCTTCTGGAAAAAGTGATTATCACAATATCATTATAGTTTAAATACAATGACCCACATTCAATAAACAATACATTTGTATATAACTATTTTACCTTTCGGCTTTTAGGATATTCAACCTTGCGTCCACCCTACAAAAATTGATGGGAAAATATTACTGGAATGTTACATAACTCAGATCGTTTTTAGTTAGAAAAACAATTCAAGTACCACCCACATTTTCCAATGCATCAATAGAAAATCTGTGCATAACAATGATCCAGTAATCAAATTTTAATTACACACAGGCAAATTTTACTACATTAAACAGTAAAGACCTAAAATAAAAGCTAAATAAAATGTCTGAGCTGCCACCCTCCAATGGAAAAAATATTTCTGATCCAATTATATTTTTTACAAATCTTAAATTTCACAAATTATGTTTATTTTGAACTTGAAAAATAGGACAGATGAATAAATGGAGTGAAAACTAATTCTTTCACTGTTACTGTTTTTTGTGTGTGTGTGTCTGTGTATATCTTGTATCTTGTTTTAATTATCTCACCATTTTCAAGGGCTTCAAAGATCTAATATATGCCTCTTTTTTCTCCCAGCATGACAGATCAGGATATTCTCCTGGTTCCAACATTAAAGGGATTCCCTGGTAACCAGGTTCTTCATAAAGTAGCCATCTAGAAATGAAAAACAATATGGTTTTTATAGGAAAATTTGAATTAAAAAAAAAAGCCCAGAGAATGTATGATACTAAGAATGTCTCCTCTGGCTATTGTCTAGATGGAAAATTGCATGGATAGAAATTCAAAGGTGCTTTCCTACCAATGAAACAAAGACTGTTCATTAAAATATTTATAGCCTGCATATTATCCAGCAGATCTTGTGCTATTATATAACAATAAAATAAAATTAGGTAAACTTCCATTTAAATCACACAATTTAAATACCTGGAACATTTAAAGGATAAAAAGTAGAATCAGTCTGGACACTGAGGCAGAAATGTGAGGGGAAAAGGCTAGGTTATCACTACTAAGTGTTTTTGTTATATGATTTTACAAAATTATTTAATAGTAAATGTTTCAGCCCAAATAAGTGATATCATCTATCCAAGTTTGACTGATCTCAGTAAGACTGGTTAACATTTGGATGGAAGGCTACCAGGAAATCCAAAGACTGTAGTCTAGACTGCAAAGTTTAAAAAAAAACCGTGAAAAAAAACCAACATACCACTGATGTGTTGTTGCTAAGAAAACTACAGAAACTGTTCCTGTGATCAAGCTCATGTTGAAGGAGGGGTTATATTTAGTTATAGGATTTTAAAGTGTCAAATTGGTCTCAATGAATAGCTACAATGAAATGCATATAAATACTTTGCCAATATATGTATGTGGCTTCATTCATATCCACACCCATCAGAAGCATTCCCAATATACTCAGTAATGCTATGATTTGTATTCATAATGCACTTTGGAAAATGATGAAACCTAACTTTGTTTATTCATACTGCTATCTCCAGAAGCTGACACTAGAATTAGAATCAATTATTGTATAATTAGAACTTATACATTTGTCCTGTCTAATAATAATCCTTTTTGTATCCTTGTCGGACAATTTTGAAAAATATTGCTGATAAAGGACTCTTTGCCTAATGAAAACGTATACAACCTAAAATTCAGTACAAGAGAATTTCATTTCAGCTTTTTAAATTCATGTTTTAATTGATTACATTTATATTCTACCTTTCTTTCAATCTGGCATAAGACCTGCTTTATAGCAAGTTACTGTTGTACTTCTAAATATTTCTTGACTGCACACATTTCTCTATACAATTTTAATTTTCATACCTATACCCATACCTTTATCTTGGATATTCAATGATTCTAAGCAAGTTTTAATTGATCACATGTACTCAGCAACCACACAGGATGTTAAAGCTATTTATCTAAGGCAATTCTTTATTCAGCAAAGTGCATACTTCCGCATAGTTTTATAAACATTAATGCGAAATTATTCTTAGGCATATAATTGCTACAACCAAGATTTCACTCTAGATGCATTTATGCTCATAAGAAGACTAAAGATATATTAAATGACCCCCAAAATGTCTATCAGATATTGTATCATAAAATAAACTACCTATATGTTATATTTTGTTTTGTTATCAATGAATCACTCCTGAAATAACTATCACTCCTTAAAAAAAACCCTGAGGTATAAGATATGTAACAGATTCAGAATTATCCAATAACTACAACCAATATGCATATCCACATACTTACATGCCCCAAGACACTTGGATAGAACAAGTCTTCTGAGAAGACCCAAGTCGTGTTTCTTCAGTATCATCAAAATATGCATTTACTAAGCCTAATCCTTGTGGTTCTGTAAACAGGTCAATTCGGCAAATTCTATAATCCTGAAAATTTATAAAATTAAGTAGGCGTAACCAAATTGCTCTTATCAGTTCTGATCTCACCTAATAGCATCTAAAAACATCATGCCCTGTTCACCCGACAGCTTGACCACTGCAATGTGTTTTATATGGGGTTGTCCTTTAAGACCACACAGAAGCTTCAGTTGATGCAGAATGCAGTGAACTAACAGTGTTGGGCATGCCTCTGCATGCACATGTGACACTCTGCTTTGTAAACTGCACTGGTTCACAAAGTGCTTCTGGGTGCAATTCAAGGCATTGGATACTACTTATAAAGCCCTACATAGCAATGGGCCTGGTTATTTGAGGGACAGCCTGTCTTTCTGGGTTCCATCAATTAAACAATCTATTGGCATCCCTGAAACAAGTTTTCTCTGTAGCAGCACCCTTCGTCTGAAATGAAGTTCCTTCCAAGATATAAGTGGCCCCCACTCTATTTGTATTTTGTCGGGGCCTGAAGATGGCTTCTTCCCTAAGTCTTTGGTGAGAATAATTACTGACTCTCTCTTTTCTTTTCTTTTCTTTCTTTTCTTGTCTCTCTTTTCTTTCTTTCCTTTCTCTGTAATTTCTGTTCTTTTATATTTATTTTCTGGTTCTGTGTTGTTCCGTTTTTAAAATGGAACAATTTGAAATCCACCCAGAGTACATATTAATTATAAATAATATTCTTTCACTGAAAATATATGGAAATGAATCAAAATCAGAATCATACACATTAAATCATGTGTGAATGCCAATACATATGCACAACCATATCCCCTACTAAATTACAACAGTGTTATCCAATCCAATCGAACTGGCGAACTACATATTTCATAAATACTGATCTTACAATGATGATAAACATATACAACTGCATTTCTCTATATGTTTAGGGCGTGTTTCAACCATACCTAAATGTTGGGTAGAACTACAAATAAAATTAAATTGTGGTTGTTGTAATTTCACTCCTTACTTGCCTTTACTACATGCCTGATTGAACCAATCACAATAGGCTCGGGATCTTTACATGTATCTTCACTGTCAAATGCTTCTTCCCCCCAAAGATTTGAAAATTCCAATTCTCCTTCTTCCATCGGAATGGAAACTCCTTCAAAATTTGGTTTCTCATACAGAATCCAACTATAATACAAGAGGGAAAATTAAACTGTTGATATGCTTCAAATATCTATTAGTTCTTATTGATTATTGCTTTAAAATTTTGAAAAGTTAATGTGATTTTTAAAATACTAGAGCAAAATTACAATAAAAAGTAACAAATGCATGGTTTAAATATTGGTGTATTTCTACCTAAATGGGTGGCTCATCCGATGATGAACTAGCAATAGCAATAGCACACTGACTTATATACCACTTCCTAGTGCTTTACAGCCCTCTCTAAGTGGTTTAGAGTCAGCATATTGCCCCCAACAATCTGGGTCCTCACTTTACCCACCTCAGAAGGATGGAAGGCTGAGTTAACATTGAGCAGGATCGAACTCCTGACTGAATTACTCTGCAATACTGCATTCTAACCATTCTAACCACTGTGCCACCAGGTTCAGTGAATGTAGGTCATACAAATTCCTTCATACATTCCTAATTCAATCCTAGGCTGTGTGTGTCCATTATACAGTAGATAAGGGAGGTACATGGTAGGGGGCGGGAGGGGACAGAAGTTAAGGAAGAACTGTTCTATCAATAGACAAATAAAACCCTTCATGTATATTTCTGCTTCATTTTTAAAACCAACAAAAATCACAGTAACTTTTTATATATTCTCTATATTATGAAACTCTTTCCCTCCACCCAATCCTTTCTTCACATATGTAGCTAATAAAAAAAACTAAGATTGTGGGTGCTTTTTCCCCAAAAGAACACAGTAATATGCTTAAATCTACCAAGATGCTTGTGTTCCTAACATTGATGCCTAGAACATGACTCATCTACAAGAGCAGCAATAGTATTGAATTAATCTCTTTATGTAGTTAAAAAAAATAATCAATGTACATAGAATGATTAGTATTATGCATACGCATGCCTACTAAAATAATCAAGTATTGAAACAAACTGAGAGCAAATCCTCTCAAACAATCCTGCTATGTAACAATAAACCCATATAATTTACCACAAAGCAGTTGAGTGAAAAGGTGACTAAAAGTAACATCCTACTTTCTTCAGCATACGAGTATTAACTTGCTTGACATAAGGCAACAATCATTAAGAGAGAGGATCTTGCTAGCGCTTGAGGGAGAGTGATGCCATTTTCAAGAGATCAGAATGAAGATAGGCTGGGAAATAGAAAATAGATATCCAGAAGTAATTCCAAATAAGGACAGAAGTCAAAGCAAGCCAAACATCAGATGCCAGAAGTACAGAGTTTAAATTTTAATGCGAAATTAAAAAAAAGTGAAGTAAATAAGCCCCTCAATTGTGTCAAAAGCCACATAGTTAGTTAGTAAATTAAAAACAGGCAAGTTAACAAGCGAGCAAGCTGTAAAAAAGTATCGAATGAAAGAAGATCCTGTACTATAAATAGGCGAAAAGGAAGGTGACAGGATAATATTGCATCTCATATACTAGATTTTATGTAAGGTCACTATGTTTACTTGTAATTGCTAATTACTTTAGCAATTTAGCAGTAATTATGGACAGGAGTTTATGTCAAGGAGTTCACTTGTGCAATTTGAAATCAGCATTGCAATCTTGTGATCTCATAATGTTGGAGCTCATTAGCAGCTCTTTTGTCATGGTGCCTTACCACTTTACTGGTTATACTACATAAAGGGTATATTACAGCTCCCCTACAATGCCAGCATTTCCTTAATTCTCCCAATGATATCAGTTTCAGGCTATCAATGTGCAGGAACTATTAACGGGACTAGCTTATTGGATATGATGTTACTAGAATCTGATACATGTATTGCTCTTTTATACTCCTTTTCTATGCAGAGCATAACTGAACACCTGCTCAATATATACTGCTCAAAAAAATAAAGGGAACACAAGCAGAAGACATCCGAGATCTGAATGAATGAAATAGCCTTATTAAATACTTTGTTCTTTACATACAATAGTTTATACACTGCTCAAACAACTAAAGGGAACACAAAACTACTGTATGTAACGAACAAAGTATTTAATAAGGCCATTTCATTCATTCAGATCTCGGATGTCTTCTGCTTGTGTTCCCTTTATTTTTTTGAGCAGTGTATAATAGCAGGATGTTTGTTTAGGTTTTGTGAATTTCACATACAATGAATTTATCAAACAAGATGTTTGAAAAAGGAGATGTAGCATACTATCATGACAGAGCAAAAAAAAAGATACTAACAATCGTTCAAAATGATTGAAAACAATTAAATGCTCAATCGTAGGCTGCTATGGAAATTTTTGGAAATCTTTTTTAAAAACCAAACTTAATGTAAGTATTTCTATACTTTTATTATGCATGCATTTTATAAAAATCTTGAATATTTTAATTCTATCACTTTAAATTAAAATCTAATTCTAGATACAAACATGATAGTAATGTCTTCCTGCTTCAAACCAAGCTCTTTTGCTTTAGGTAAAAAATTCTTATTTCTGTGAGCTTCATTAGTTGTGTTCTCTCTATCCTTGGCTTTACCAAGGCCTTGATAGTAACAGCAATTCTGCCATAGGAAACAGATCATTATTTGATAAATGCAGTATAGCAAGCTCTCTCCAACTTTCAGTTAAGAGGTCCAGGAAAGATCTTTAAGAAAGTCCAAGCATTTAATAATATTTAAATCTCAATTTCTGGTTATTTTTTCCAAGGCAGAAACTAGTACCCATTTGACAGAAATCAGACAGCATGCAGCTTTTAAAAAAGAAGTTACTTAAAATTATAGGCTTTTAAAAAATTATAAAACTTTTAAAACATCAAAGAAAGAAAACAAGAATATATAAGCAAAGCTAACAATAAAGGTTCTATAAACATTAGATTATACACGTTATGACACTTTTAAACATGTCTTAAAAACAGTTCAAAGAAAACTTGTTTAGGCAAGCTCAGCAAGAACACACGCATGAGGCCAACCCAAAAATTTGCTGAAGAAATAAAGAAAGCCACTTTTACATAGAAAAGGGAATAAGCAGCAAGGTGGCAGGATACACAACTAAAGGAAAAAAGTGGACACTTTTATTCTTACCATCCTCGGATGACTTTAACTAAAATTACAGGTGACAATTTCCAAGAGGTGCAATCCAACACATCATGAAAAACTTCAAAACTATTTTCGGAAGCATCTGATTTATTGCAAATCATGACCTGTATTTTTTAAAAAAGAAATTCAGTCTCATTTAATCTAACGAGAAAATTACAATAAAACAACAAGCATTAATGAAGGAAAATTGTCTCACCTTTCCAGGTCTAGGATTAGTTTTATTCTGGTTTTTTCCTGAAAATGTCTGTGGAAAGCAAAGGGAATAAACAGTAAGAAGAAATCAAGCATGAAATTGGTATATTCTACTTTCACAACTTCTAACACTGAGGTCATTGCTCCAGCCTCACAGCACTGCAGCAAATCCAAACTGCTTTTGCAGAAATGAGTATGGAGACACTCGTGGTGTGGATATTTGTCTTTTTCTTTTCTTTTATTGAAAAGACAGTGCATGTCAGGATAACAATGCAAATAAGGCAAAGCCAGAGAGAAATCAATGGTAAATCTTAACATACGATATTGGAAGATACCAGAAAACAATTTCTATGCTCTGAGATTACCTCAATGACCATAGGATTCACCACTGGAATTTGCATTCTGTACGTTTCAAAATTGTTAGTATTTCTCAATATGAGAATAAACCTTCTTACCTAATATGGATTTATCCCTAATTTACATATTTGAAAGTATAACTGTTCCTACATCAGACAAGTTGCTCCTACAAAACATTGATCAAATGCAGATATGTATACCGAACATCCTTTCAATTTACCCATAAAGGCCTATTTTTCTGCAAGTTTCCAAGAATTATCAGAGGGTTAAAAGAGAACTGTGCTCAAATCATCTTTATTAACTAAGTGTGCTATATCTCTTCTGTTATTCTGTGCAAGTAATTTTTTTATATTAATGCAGTTCATCCCATTGACTGCACTGTGTGGAACAATTAGTACTTTGAAGATAGGGTAAAAGTTCTGAAAAATCAGTACAAAAAACATTTTAATTTAATTAATTATAAATTAAAATAGTTTCTAAGTAAATTCTAAATATTGATTAAAGATATGGAATTATACTGTGATTATTACTGTCAGGGAGATTGCTGTCAAAGGTTGGTGTGTGCAATAAATGATTAATATAATCAAGGAGTGGAAGTTTAAATTCCTGAGGCAGATTTTTTTCTGGACTTGACAGTATGGAAAGCACAGATGATGGCACTATGGCCACCAGTATCTTTTACCAGCCTAAGCTATTATATTTATTTAGAGAATATTGATCTCACCTTTACTTGAACAACATATATGTATAGACACTCATACACATATCTTTAAGAAATGGCTTATATTATTGGGATATGTTATTTTAATCTATGCCAATTAACAGATTATTGTGCTATTTTCTGGTTCAATTCCAAGTATTATCAAAAGGGGAAGCAGTGTCATGGATGTGTCTTTGAAATGGGAGATGGTGTGATGAACTACAGTGAAATTGCAATTTTTCAGGAAGGAGGCAGCACATTCCAAGCTGTGTGTGTGTGTGCGAGACAAGAGTCAACATAGTCCAGAGCTGGATCGAAAATAGAGGAAGAGAGTTAGGATAGCCACTCCCTAGAATCTACCAGGGTACATCCATAAGGGTGAGAGTAGTAGTCATTTAGTCTTCAAGATTCTGTCTATTGAGTGTAAGTAAATAAAGAAATGAACTTTGGCTGGATTGTTCTATGTGGTTCTTGGGCTGGGCCTGATAGGCAGGTAGCAGACTGAATTCCAAGTCATTTGAAAGATCTGCCTATGCCAGGATGAATCTGAATCCTAGACACCAACACCAGAGACTTGGCTTGTTGGCTGTCTTTAGGGTTAGTTAGATTCTAACCACTAAGACTAAAGCTCCCTTGCAAGGGACACAATACTGACTTCTTCCATCTTGGCATTCAGTCACAAAACTGCAGCTTTGGAACGGGCCATTTAGATCAATCCCCTGTACAGTACAGGAATATGAATGAAAATATGCCTGAAAAATCTAATCTTCACTTGAACATGTTCTCTTGCTTCTGTGTTGACTACAATTCACTTCAATCTTTTGTTATGGTCACAGACCAGAATCAAAATTAAAACATTAAAATAAAACAGAACTTTCCTTACGGTGAGGAAAAGTTTTCCAACATTCAGTCAGAATAGATCTTCTAATTTTAATCCATTATTTGTGCTTTGCACTTTGAGGCAATAGAAAGTTGACCTCCTTCTGTTTTATACCCCTTCAAGTATTTGAATAGTACTATCAAATAGTTCCTTCCTCCTGTCCACTAGTTTCCTTTTTTCAAGGAATTCCCTGTTCTCTAAATCTCTCCTCATAGATTATCTTTGTCGCTTTTCTCTGAACCTGTGATTTCTGAAATAAAGTAGGACTGTGTAACAATCCTTTCAGTGTAACTGCCAAATGTCGCTGAAAACTGCATTATGTTTTTTTTTGCAATCAGATAATTATCTTTATAATCAACTTATAAGGTCTTTTTCATCAGTACTATTGTCAAACTATCTCCCATTATACCTGTGCTTCTGTCTAATCTAATCTAATTAGGTACAATTTTAAATATTCTTGGCAGGATCATTTTTCCTTAGAGGGATTAGGAAAAAATTACCAAGACCTCCTCCCACCCCTAGAATAACAATCCTGCAAGTAGGTTGAGATATTTTATTGTGATATTCATAAACACAACATACTGCTAAACCAGTATGATACGAAGAAAATGGCAATATTTTCATGCGAGTGTTGAATGAAGGAAAAAACATTTTTTATCAATCCAAATGGTCATTTTCAATATTCTTATACCAACTCACATTGCTAATTTCAGTTCAAAAGGACTGTACTTCACTAAAGTGAAAGAAGAAAAACATGAAAAAATTCACTTCACTATGCAGGTTTTCAAAATGTCTAGATAGATTGCATTCAACCCACCTCAAAAGCTAAGAATTCATTTGATTCACACTGACCAGGTTTCAACCAGTTTGAAAAACTGTTTTCAAGGCTTCCAAAGTTTGGCATTTGTAAAATTCTTTCTCTTTTTGCATCATCAGTTTGTAAATATTTATCCATATAGTTTGGTGCTTTGAAACCTGGAAGAGGCTAAACAGAAAATAAAGCAAATGATTGGCTGCAGGTGAAACATATTTCAGGTAACATATATTTCAGATAACATACATATAAAGTAACATTCAATAACATGACATATAAAATATATTCCAGATAAAATGTATTTTAGATAACATTAGAAATAAAAAAAAATTACCTCAGATTTCTGAGTTACATCAAATATTGAAGGAGGAATTCCTGAAGAAGTGGCATTCTTCTGAGATGCAAAAGATGTTGTGATTGTGTTTACAGTGGTTACAGATGGTGTAAACATTTTTTCTTTAGTTGTGGGAGCTAGCAGACTGGAGAAGATGGCGCTGTTTTCAAGTCGAGACCTCTTGATGTCACTGTCTGTGCTGTCCTTGTTCTCTTTCCCATTCATTTCCTGCATGAGAGCTGAATCTGCTCTACTTGGTAACTTCAGGGACTGGAGAAGAAGGCTGTTCTCAGCAGAAGCCCGCTTAGGTCTAATCCTAGCATCAGTCTCTAAACTTTGCAATTTTAACTGGACAGATGGAGTTAGATCTTGTGATCTGTCTCTCTTTATTCCCAATCCCACGGTAAATATATTAGGGTCAAATATTTTCTCCAACTTGTCCTCATGAATTGGAGGCATTGCAAAGTGAGGGGCAGGAGACTTTGGAAGTTTCTGCTTTTTCTTTTTCTGAGGTATACAAACAGAACTGTCTAGATTTTTAAGTGTTTCTGTGAACTTGGCCATATCTGAAGGAGAGTCACAAATGCCATCAGTGCTGCTGCTTTCAGAAACATTACAACCACTGCTTTGATTTTCTTGCCAGCTGTTATTTTGTTCAAATTCTTGGTTGTCTTCCAAAACAGTATTAATCACCTTTTGATCTTTATTTTCAAACTGAGAAATCTGGTTTAATTCTGATGTTTGGGGTGTCGGATCAGGCTGCGGCAAAGATTTATCATTATTATTGGGAAAGTAATGATCTGAGCTCAAAGAAAATGTCTCTTCGCTTTCAGGAGATAAGGATGTGGCATTCATACTCCAATTATTTATTTCTATTTCTTCATTCTGCACTATAGATGAAACATTATCTAGGTCTTTGTCCTTGACTAATTCTGTATCAATTTTTGTAAAAGTGGAATCATTCACTTTAGTACCATCTACTTTGTCATTCTCATTAACTTGACATTTAACAATTTTTCCAAGCTCTTCACTTTTTTTAACATCATCACATGTACTGTTTGCCTCAATCTTTCTCTGTGCCTTAATGTTTGTGTCTGAAGAGATTTCTTTTACTTTTGTGCCATTTTGCAATAATTTCTGACGATGGTTTCCTTTGTTTGTTATTTTGTTAGTCTGTTCACTTTCAGTTTGCTGTCGTCCAAACTTTAACTTTGCTCTGCCAACAAATGTATTTGATACAGAACCTCTTTTTGAAGCAGGAGCATCAGCAGATTGATGTTGATTATTTTGCTTGCTTTCAAACATGGATATTTTATTGGCAATGCTGAAGTTAATTTTAACTTTGTCTGTAGCATCTTGGTCATTTGCCAAATTTTCCAGACTTTTTGAAGCTTTAAGATTTAATTCAACATTCTTTGGTTTAGCTGGCCTATAAAAAATAAAGTATTAAAGTAATAAAAGTAATAAAAATATTTTAATAACATTTACTTGAAGAGGATTTTTCTTCTAAATCTAATTTATGAAACATCTATGTCTATGTCTGTTTAGGAATTATTTCCAAATAAACACATAACAACTTGTACTACATATTGTACTGACATACTTTCTATTAATGATAGAATTATAATCTTACTTTCTAAAAGCAGACTTATTGAATTTAATATGTATAAAAATGTACAAAATGGCAGTCTAATAATTTAAGGGAATAATAAAATGAAACTAATTGTGAGTGACCAATTTTTCAATATAGCATCAGAAAAAGACATACAAGAAATGTAATTTTTAAGTCACATAAATTAGCAGAAGAACATTTGTTTCTTAGCAACTCATTCCTTTCCTTTTAATGTTAAGTCATTTAACATTTATTCAAAAATATCTTTCTAACCTTTATTTTGTCCTCTTACAAAGCTTTACATTAACTTATTTCACTTTGTCCTTTGAAGGCGCCCTGAGTCTCCGGAGAAAGGCGGCATATAAATTGAATTAATATAAATTGAATTAATAAATACTAAGGTTTGTTAATGAAGCAGACAATTGAGGATTCAAGTGCTTTTGCATATTGCTATGACTCATTAAATTCATGTATTGTGTACACTGAGTAGAAGAGATAAAAAGTTTCTAATCTAGATGAGATATATAAATTGAATCAAACCACTATGTTCATTTACTAATTCAGGGTTTTATTTAAAGAAAGCTGAAAATGACCACTGTCACTTTCTCTGGTACATCATCTACAATCTTGCAATGTAATTATTATTTTTCTTTTTTTTAAATAAAAAATGATACCAATGTTTTTATTTTCTGCATAAGAATAAGGAAGCATAACCCTGTTCAAGAATTAATTTTTCAGCAATTAAATGGGAAATGCTTAAGTTCTTCATACTTGCAATTTTTATAAATTCCTAAAGGGAATATCTTGGAATTAGTGTTAATAAATTCAAAGAGTTCGAATGGGATGCCAAATTTGAGGAACATTTTAAAAAGAAAATTATAAAAGAACAGGATATCCCTTGAAAGATGTTGAAGCTAAATTTTTGTTCTATTCTAATGGAGCAAAGTGAAGGAAGCCAGTTCTTGAACCATTTAAGGCTCTCAGAATGCAATAAAACACACAGTGCCTACAGCAGTAATTCATATTCTTTGCTGGAAACTATATCAACAGATGTGTCAGAACTGGAAAGCAATGCAAACTGATTGCAGATGATTGCTCACCTGAGGATCATGAAAAATGACACTAATATCTTCCTGTTAACCATATTTACATAGAAATACATTCCATCGATTTCAACATAATTTATTTCAAGTAGGGCTTGGATTTTTTCTATCCTAATAATACTTACTCAGAAGTGCTGCCAGTTTTAGTCCTAAGAAAATATATTTGCAATTCCAAGTGTGTTGTACACATTTAGTTCAATTTCAGTGAATTTAAATTAAATGTAAATGGATTTAGATTTGTATTATGGCTGTATAAAGCATTCAAAGTAAAACTTCACAACACGTGTCAGCGCGAATAAAACATCCCTCCTTATATTGATGAAGTAGTCACCTCTCCTGGAAAGCTTCCCATACTTTCTCCAAGGCATTTTTCAGGTTGCATGTATGTACATGCCATGACAATATTTTACCTGGAACTGCTGACTAAACAAAGCTGCTGTGCATGCAAACACATGTGAAGATAACCTTGGAAAACTTTTGAAGTTTGAAGGTGAGCCTTTCATAGGTCATGGCGACCACAATGCTTTGAAAGGAAGTTTTCTTCACACCAGCATACTTTGTGAAATGTCTCTTTTAATACTTCACACAGCCCTAATTTATGGTGCAATTTTGTAATTAAGTGCTAAAAAGTGTCGGTATGTTTAAAGAAGCTTATTTTATATATTTCTACATGAAATGTAAATATGGACATAACTTTTGGATTAGCCACAAATTATTTACATAATAAACTACCATACTGTAATTTTGAACAAGGCAAAAGAAAAGTATTAAGCAAATTGGAATATCAACTCTTATCAACTTGAATTCAAGTAAAAGAAATTGAATTTAGCATGGGATTCAAGGTTACTATTTCTTTTCCAGACAAATATTTGGCTCTACCAAGGAAGAAATTCAATCACAGAAGAAAAAAACAAGAGATGTACATTTTGCTGATTTCTTTTCACTGCATGTTCCAGAAGACTGAGAAAGTATCTAGAATTGTATGCTAGCTACCGGACACTGGTATTTATCAGTAGAAACAGTTCTTGCTTCTCCATTCTGTTATACTTTCTATGCTAAGAAACCAATTTGAAGTTTTAATATAATACTTACTATTTTGGATATACTTATTAAGAAGAGTAGCTAGATTTCCTCCAGAGATTAAAGATATTGCATGTCAATTTATATAAAGTATTACTGTAATTATCTTCCCAGGTTCACAGAATGTACAAAACCAAAATTAATTGAGCATATACATTGTAGGGCCAATTTATAATGCTATCATTATTTCTTTGTATCATGCAAATTCAATTTTTAATTTCTATGTAACATTATACTTATAGGTTTTGTGATCAAAGCTTACAGACAGGCCTCCCATAATTAATTAATTTATTAATTAAATGAGATGATTGCACCTAATCTACTGTTGTAGATCACCATACCAAAGTGCACAGATATCAAAAATAAGTTTTTTTTTAAAGAGCAACTATGCTTCTTCTCTCCCTCCTAAATCAAATTTAACCCGTAATATATTCTACTTCTCAAAATCTGTATATGGATTCCAAATAAAACATCAAGTTTAGTTAGCAAACTTAAGTGAATTTTGAGATTCAATTTAAACCTGGGAGGGTAGGTTGGTGCATTATTCTCTTACAAATCATACAACTATACCTGGATTGTCTTATCCTATCTTGAAGAGATTTCATGTAAATTAATATGGGCACAAAAGCTATGTTTTAAAAACATTGGTCTGGGAAGCCACCTCAATTTTCGTTTTTTGTTTTTATCAGGAACACTGCTTCAGAACACTTCATATTCATAAATTTCACTTGAAATTTATCTTTCAAGATAGAACTCCATGTGGCAAAGTTTCATTTGTAATTTATGAACTGAACAGAATAGAATCTGTGCTTGGGCAACTAGTTCACATATATGTTTTATTATGTGTAAAATCTGCATATGAACTTGTACCCTTTATGTATAAATTGGCACTAGGCTCCCTCTCCATATACAGAATTTTATCAAATCATCTGACACAGAGACAAGTCATTCTTGAGCTTGAAAAAACACTAACTTGTAATTATGGTTTGGAAACCACACAAACAGACTTTGCATTCAAACTATAATATGCTTAATATAAATGGAAACAAGGTTGTAACTGTCCAAAAGTAGATTTCTGCCAACTATTTTAGAAAGTCTGCCATCTTTAACTAATGAGAAGATCCAACTAATAATGACAAGTTCCCCAATATTATTGTTCTGGTTTTATAAATAGGAACTTCACTAGAGCTTGCAGCTGAGATAGAGAAGATAATGGCAATGGGGAAAAAGGCAGAGGAGCCCCAGATGTAATTGTCTCTTCAGTGGATGGAGGGAAGGGGAAATTTTAGAAAGTGAGACAGGGAAACATTTAAGAAGCATTAACTACTTCCAATCAACTCCACTCTAACCTTTTTATTAAAAAGAAACAAAAAACGACTCCAGGAATAAATTTAAATGAGTAATAATGGTTAAAATAGCCATTCATTGCAAGAGGCATAAAGAAATTTCTCCTACTCCCCAAAGATTTTCTATAATATCCCAAAGGTGCTTTTTTCAGGAAGCAACTGGACTTCCTTGTTTTTTCTTTTGAAGATGTTTAGCTTCTCATCCAAGAAGCTTCTTCATCTCTGACAGGATAGTGAGGAATGGAAGGACGAAACTTCAAAAGAAAAAACAAGAAAGTCTATTGCCTCCTGAAAAATGCACCTTTGGGACAACCATGATCTGGATGATTGAGACTCTCTACAGAATTTTCCATAATACTTTAGTATACAGGTAGTCCTCAACTAACAACCACAATTGAGCCCAAAGTTTCTGTTGCTAAGCGAGATAGTTGTTAATTGAGTTTTGCCCCAATTTATGATCTTTCTTGCCACAGTTAAGTGAATCCATGCAATTAAGTTAATAACACAATTGTTAAGTGAATCTGCCTTCCCCATTGACTTTGCTTGTCAACAGATTGCAAAAGGTGATCACATGGCCCCAGGACACTGCAATCGTCATACACATAAATCAGTTGCCAAGCACCTGAATTCTGAGCATGTGAGCATGGGATGCTGCAATGATCAAAAGTGTGAAAAACAGTTATAAGTCTCTTTTTCAGTGCTGTTGTAACTTTGAACGGTCACTAAACTAATGGTTGTAAATACGGACTACCTGTATTTAGCAAAATATTCTTCTAGCTCCATGCTAGCTGTAATTCCTCCTAAGAGAGAAGTCCAAGAACAGAAAATGGAAAGCACTACTGTGAATTGCGTTTCATTAATGAAACAGTGAACAAGTGAAAGTGAACAAGATGAAAATATTCTAATTGCCATCAGTATTTGTAATTATAGTGCTGGAGTTTCTTTCTGACAATGGAAGGATATTATATTCATTTATATTTAAACAAGTAGAATCCATGCATAAGGATAGATATTTAGCAGTTAAAATCCAAGCTTATTGAAAGATAGGTGACATGGGTGGCATATACATTTAATAAATAAATAATGAATATTTCATTTCATCATATGTAAAACATTAAACTTACAGGCTAACTTTTGTTGTGACTGTTCTGGAAACGTCAAGGCATATATTTCTTGGCTTTGCTTCATCCAAATCAGAAGAAATTTGCCTTCCATTGCCTTCCACCTCATCATTTTTATGCTTGTCAGCCTGCAATATAACCCTGCCATCAGAACTTCTGACAGGGTGCAAATCCTGAGACTCTGTCCTCTCTTCAGAAGGCAATTGTGAGCTGCTATTGCTCACAATGCCTACAGGAGAAACTACAATGTTGTCATCAGAAGGCAATTCTTCTACTGAAGTACATTTGGATGCTGGATTACCATCCATTATGCCGTCACTCTGTCTTTTGGCGGAAGGATTTTTTCCAGGACTTTTTATGCCTATGGGTGATGGAGGACCTGCATCAGACTGATTCTTTTTAAAGGATTTCTTTTTATATGAGGATGAGGCTGGGCTCTGCTGCTTGCACTTCTCAAGCTCTGATTTAGTAAAACCCTTATGATTACTTCCAGACCTTATGTCGTTATTATTTGCAGGAGACATAATCTGTTGACAAGGTCTAACTTTTCTTTCAGAAGTGCTTATTTTTTCTGAAACCATATCAGAAGGAATACCATCAAAACCAGGCTCCTCTTTCCCAGTATTTTCACTTGCGTTTCTATCCCCATTTGGCACATCACTGGAGCTCTGAGATTTTCTTCTCTTTCCAGATTTCCTAATTGCAGGTTTTTTATCCATTATGTCTGTGTTGCTACAATCGTCGTCTAATGCAACAGCTACTGGTTTATTCAAATTTTGTTGTTCAGCTCTACGAAGAAAAATATCCAGTGTCAATATTCTAGAAGGCTGGGGTTGCTCATCTTGCTTAGGTTCCACAAAAAACGGTTGATCTTTTGATTCTGCATATTCTGATTCTGCAAATGTAAGAGGCTCCACTAATTCCTTGTGATTTAATATAATTTGTTCTAGATTTTCATCAGATAGAGTAGATAAACTTTTAAAGAAATCTGGAGTTGTGTTTGTATCAGTGACAAGTTCGTTTTCTCCTTCCAGTGTCCCAAGTGTAAGATTGCTATCAAATAATGTATTTTTTATTGTTTCATTACTACTATGCCAATCAAGTGACAATTCACTGCCAGAAGAAAGTCCTTTAGTGTTCCATTCTGAAACAATGTCATTATATAAAGGTGTCAAATCCCTATTGTAGAGATAATCTTCTGAACTGTCAATAGTATCCTGGCTCTTTGACTGGTTCTGCTCGTAAATCGAATCAGTAAGAGATTCCTCACTCTTAGATAGGTCATTTAGGTCCTCTATTTCTATGGATGCCAATGGGGCTAAATTCTTGTGAGGAGATTCAGGCCTTATAATTTTTATACTTGGCTTTGAAGATGTTTCTTGTGTATTCTTGGGATTTTTTCTCCTCCCTGTAGTAAAAAAATGTCCAAACTTTCCCAAAACTGCCTTCTTTTTTAATTCCTTTGAAGACTCTGAAGAGCGGGTTTTAGACTAGAAAAAATGGAAAGAAAGAAAGGAAGTGAGATTGTATAATCATAAAAACTTGCTTATTAAACATTTATTTATTAAGGAACTATATCTGAAGTATTTGTTGAATGCTAGAATCTTCTTTGAAAATGGCGCCTTAACATGTAAAATATCGTATTTTGTAAAATGCATTAAGTGAAATCTTAATGCATGTGCAATCAAAGCACATGGCACACCTAGCCAACTTAAGTAGACCTTAAAATAGGCATGGAATAGCTCCGTACTTTATGGAGTGCACCAAAAATTCCCAAGACTGCAAATTATAATGAGAAGTCAGAAAATATCCCACAAGGTAGCAAGGGCAAAACATTTCTGTACAGTTGATAAAAAAAAACCCCACGTGGACACGTCCTTACAGTTTGCAGAAAGTGACTTTGACTCAAAGCAAACTCTACTTTTTAATAATCCAGTTCTTTGATATCAGATTAAATGCCACCCCCTCCTCAGTTTAACAAGCTTACTTCCAAATAAGTTGAAGTAGTATTATAGTACTATAGTCTAAATTTCTTACTTAAATAGATCTCTAAAACATTGTTTTATTAATAACAAATACCTTTTTGAACTTTCAGCAAAACAAAGAGAAACAGTGACATTCTTAATAAGCATGTTTAGTAGACATTGTTTGGATCATTTTAGTGCATGTGGTAATTTTCAGGCCATCTTTTATTTTTAAGGTGTATTTGCATTGCTCACTAAGCCACAAATTAACCATAAATGTATTAGATTATTGGGCTGTGCAAACTAAGCCCATGTAGTTAATGGCTTAACATGTACACAAAGAAATTAGGCTGAAGTTGGGCCTGGGTAATTATGTCATCCAAATACAGCCAAACACTAAAGATAAAAACAAGAACTAGAATAAAATCTATTCCTTCTAAATCACCAAGACTGCTAATGTTGATTTGGTCCTCTGAATTTCTCCATTTCCCCCAATAAAGAATTCCTATTTTACAGTCACAGCACAACACCCCAATTTGGACTGGGTGCCACAACACACTGACCCACAAGCAAACCAAATTGGATCAAGGCGGACAGCTATAAAAATGGAATGAATGAATGAATGGGTGGGTGGATGGATGGATGGATGAACGAAGGCATTTCGGCGCAGCGGTGTTTGTGAATCCAACTCTTGGGAATAATAATAATAATAATAATAATAATAATAATAATAATAATAATAATTTTATTTCTATACCGCCCTTCTCCCGAAGGACTCAGGGCGGTGTACAGCCAATTTAAAAACACAAGACACAACAATGATTAAAAATTAAAATAATTAAATAGATTTGGCCGGTTTAAAACCCCAAAAATTTAAAATACCCCAATTGCACAATTCTGCCTTGATGGAAGCATTAAATTTCCCTGCAACTACAATAGAAGAGCCCCTTTCACGGAAAAAGCCAGAACCTCTTTCTCAAGTTTCCTTCCACGTGCTTCCTAAAGACACCTAAAGTCGCGGAGACAATAACTCTCCCCAAGTTCAAGTCACAGCTAGTGGCGCCGCGACTGAGCCAAAGCGGTCATTCGACCCGCTGTCTTCAACCAGCTCTTCCCAGCCCTGCGCATCTTCCGCGGTGGCCTCGCCTCCGAGGGATAAACGGGTTGGGCAGGCGCGTCCCCCGACCAGCACAAGCTCCCGGTCCTCCGTCACCCAGCCTTTCCCTATACTGTACTCGGGGAAGACCGAAGGGCGGATCGCTCTTTCACCTCCCGAGATTTCTCCACAACTTCTCCCGCCCTGACGGGATCGACCTCTCCGACCCTTCCCCATGCCCGCTTCTTCCTCTGCGGATCGGCTACTCACTAAGTAGCTCGTCCCAGGCGCGAGTTCGACGGCCGCCTCCAAGCGACCTCCAGTCCGCAGGCAACTCCTGAGAAAAGAGCGCCAAGGCCGGCTCCCAGGAAGGCGCCAACTGCAGAGCAGCCAGCCGCACCCGCCCGACGGAGCGAGGCCCGCCTTCGCCTGCGGTATCAGCAGCTGCTGCCGCTCTACCTGGCACAGGTGGGACGGATGGAGGGCGGGCCGAATTCTGGGAAGGGAAAAATGTGGTGCGCAGAAGCTGGCGGGAAAAGGTTATTCGGGTACAGGCGAAGAGTCAAAGCAAGCGGGTGGGGAAGACGGTGAGGAGAAATAAAACGCGGGTTACGAAACTGATTATGGAGGACGGTTTCCTCCTGCTTCGAGTCTGGGTTTCGGAGCGGTCCCGCAAAGATTCGGAATGAAATTGGCTGATTTCTGGGTCCACATGAGCTGCAGCATCTCTTTGAAAGTATTTCTTAAGAACGGACAGGCCACTACATTAAAAAAATAATAATAATAATCACGACCCAGTGGGACAGCGAGTTCCTGCTTAATTTTGAGAATAATCGGCAGAGCACCAAATTAAAAATTGCCATTTTATGTATTAATCACAGACGAAAGGATGAGGACAGAGGTTTATCATTTAAAAATTTACCTCCATCTCATGATATATATTCCTCCTGGGTAATTTAAAATCAGTTAAATTAACATTCAGTTTTGTGAGAACCCAGACAATTTTGCTTTAGTCAATAAATCACAAACCACAGCTTAGTGCAATGTGTGAACACAAGTATGCATGCACAAAGTATAAATGTAGCAACAAGGCACAGAGATCCAATTATTTTAAGGTGCCTTGTAATCAGGCAGAGCTTTCCAGAAGAGAAAAGGGAAGGATGCCAACAAGCATAACAAAACTCACAAAAGATGTTATTCTTAAAAATGCTTCCACAAGCTTGAGCAATCTGAAATACTGCTGGTACACTGCCTATTCTCATCTATTCAGGACAGAAAAACCGCCTTAAGCAAAACTGACACTTTGATGGTATGGTAAAAAGCCAAGATTCTTCTTGCTTTTTTAAAAAAATGGTTATAGGTTATTTAATCAACAACCACATCTGAAGTTAACATGGTTATAAAACAAGACATGGTATAAAACATATATTTCAAAATAAATGTGGAGTGAACAGGATATGCTCATTAGCTAATAGTGTTTAGGGATCTGTATTTGGTGAATAGTGAATCTTTACTCCTGTTCATCTTTGTGCCATTCAAGACAATGATCTGGAAGAAAATTATTTAGCCCATACTGATCCCGTCCACAACAATCTGATATATTATACTATAAATACAATTGTAATTTGTAAACACATTCAAATAACACAGCCTCTTAGTTTTTCTGCCTAAGGAAAGAGCCAATGCTTTTGCTTACTCATTGAAACTTTCCATTCTACATTACTGTATGCAATTTAGAGTATACTTCCAGAGAAGAGTCAGTTAACAAGGAATACACTACACACTGATTTGTCTAAATTTAGACAAGAAACAACACTTTCATTTTCTAAAAATACCTTACTTTTTTCCCTTAGTTTCTAAATGCCAGTACAATTCGTTAATAGATAGACAGTGTTGTGGAGAACATACAATACAGTACAATATATGTACCAGACAGGTTCCACCCCTGTTGGTTTGAAATGCGAAAAGGGACATCATTTAGTAAAAATTTTAGAGGCAGTATACCAGCTGATTTGCTTTTCCAATACAATACTAGTTTTGCTGATTTAAATGGCTAATAAAGGCAGTGGTTCAGGTGATCAAACAGCAGAATGTGAAAATTAAGAAGGTGTACTATATATAATGCTAACCACTTATTTTTCTTTTTAGCAACAAGCCATTGCATTAAAAAGATAGTAAATGTAAAAAGGTGTTCTACAACCAGATGCTGAAGTTCCCTTTTCCTAATTTGTATCAAGCTTCGAAACAGCTGAGCCTAAATAGGGACCTAAATTTTATTTGCCTCCCGTGGCTGGAAACAAGTTTTCAGTAATCCAAAGCTTTTCATGTTATTAAATCCAAGTTTTGAAATATTTCCTAGTAAACATGCCTAGGAACGCTAGCTTAGTCTGGCTTTAAGAATATATTATTACTTATCTTTAACTTCTGGTGTGTAAGAGCTGTATTAGTGAGGGCATTAGTTATTAAACCAAGCGAGAGTAGGTTTAACACCCTACCATTCTTTAAGCCTTAGAAATATAAAGCTTCTTGCACTTTTCTATGTATAGTTTATTACTTCCATTAGATGCTCCCTTTGGTATATAGGCACCTTTCTGATCAGGTGCACACATGCAGTTCCTTATTCTAATTAATGAGCAGCCAACTTCATTTCTTCTCAGAAGATTAAGCACAACTCAGAAGAAATGAAGTTACAATACTTTCTGTACACATCTACATATTTTTTCTTTATTACAAATGCTAATAAACTTAGAACAACTGCCTAGATTCTCCATAATTTTCTTTCAAGGCAGTTGCATACAGACCTCAAGATTTGTCAGCCCTTTGAGTTAGGCCAATTTAAGAAACATATTGCAGGGATTCCAGAAAAACTAGAATATTTTATTGTTGTAAGGCCAATGTCAACTCTAAAATCCTTTAACTATATAATTGATCTGCTATACACATAACTATTGGTTAGGTTTTTAGACAGTGTCATAAAATCTTCATAAAATGTATAGGAATCCTCATAACTTATTTGAATATAGTTTTTTTAAAAATTTGCCCTTGAGTCAGTCTTAACTCCTGACAACTGGCCGGACAAGTTCCTGAGTTTCCCTGGCGAGGTTTTTCAGACATGGTTTGCCATTGACTGCTTCCTAGGACTCAGGATGAGTGATTGGCCCAAGGTTACTCAACTGGCTTTGTGCCTTAGGTGGGACTAGAATTCAGCTCTTCTAGTTTCTATGACGCCTAAACCACTACACCAACTGGCTCCTTTAGTGAAATAATAAAGGTTTAAAAATTATTCATTGAGCATTCACTATTTTATTATTATCCCTATATATGATATGATAATTTATTTTATTACTTTAGTGAATAGCATTCTGTACTCCAACATTCAGGTAAGAAAACACAGCAGTAATGCAGATAAAACAAGCAAAATGTTTTTTAT